TGGCATACCGTTCTGTTCTCTCCAGCTGAATTTCCATCTGAAGAAATGCTTGATTCTCTGATGGTTCCAAGGAAGACTGGATTACTAGCAGGGTCAGCACTGGCATTGTCTGTTAACTCTTCACCAACACTACGGCATAATATCTCTCGAGTAGATCTCTGCCTCCGTGCCATTCGTACAGGAACCTCTGGGTCTGGATTATGAAGTGACCGTTGCTCATCATGGCTTATACTTGTTTTTAGAGTCCGGTTCCTCTGTTCTGCAAACAAGAAGGCAGCCGCAGCCTCTTGATGGCTTAACTTTGATTCTCGCCTGACAACTGGGGCTAAAAAGCACATTTCCGAGCTTGAAGTGCTACTTAGTCTGGAATCTTGAGATGTGTCTGTTGAGTCTGTCACTATTGACTTTCTGGATGAACCTCCATCACTCACATCAAACGCAAAGTCTGGACGTTTCCTCCACACAATATGTTCTTGTCTGTGATCGCTTCCTGCAAATGAGTCACTACTAGGTGTTGAAGTGATGACTGGAGGTGCTGACTTAGAGGTGGTGGAGTTGGTCTCATCAACTTCTCCATCACTATGTACTAGAGGTGCAATACCACCATCCCACTTGTCAGGCCTCTTACCAACGCCTGTTAATAGTCCATGAGAAGTATATTTTGATTAGTTCATAAGGATAATTGAAGCATAAAATAATACAATAAACTACCATCACAAAATTTTTGAGAAACTTTTTAGTCTTTTTTGGTTGTGTGCATGAGAGTATCAAGTTATTGTTCAAAGCAAAGCAGTTATCTGAAAATTCTCAAAGTTCATGATTAAACAATCAACATTCCAATCAAGATTCTTTTTCTTGATTCGAGCATTAAAATTGAACACTCTCACACATGTCTAAACATCAACCCAAATTTTTAATGGAGAAGTGTGCCTTTCTTGAGGTAAGAACTAACTTTCTAAACAAAATTTAGACAAGTTTCGACTACAAAGGGTTAGTATCAGTGCTGGCAACAACACAGCAGTTGAAAAAATAGTTACTTTATTACATTTCCACAGTGAAACAACAATCATCACCTCAGACAGAAAACATAAAAATAAAAGAATCTGAACTGGACAGGTAACAAAAATTCTCACAATTTAATTTCTTGTGCATGTCATTTTGATTTGCTACTGTGACCTGCAAATATTTTAAATCTGTTACATTTGCAAAACATTTATTAGCTAGTTTTATGTTATATTTCTGTTTTGCAGTTTACTGATGAAACATGAATGTATGAATGTACTTACTCTACAGCAAAAGATACAGGTGATGTGTGTCAACATAATCTCAAATGAGCCACATATCCATCACACTATTTGTTATGTTAACTTCATATTCATAAACTTGAAACTAAACCAGCTAAATAATTTGATAAACCATCTTATTTCACTCACTTAAGTTTGAGCCCTGCTTAATATACCACAAAGAGAGAATTTTTCCCGTATCAGTAACCCCATGCTTATTACTAAAGTGTCCATGTTCAAGAAATGCATCTACTTAGCAATTACAGCAAATTCAGTAAATTATAAAACAAATTTTGCATAGAGTTACATAAGTATGTGTGTGTGGGTATATGTATAAAGAATGACAGAACAGCAAGAAGTTTCACTTAAAATTATTCATTGTCTGGACTTTTATTTTACTATATTCTTACTATCATCTGCTGACAAGACCTGTACCCAGGTGGGTATGTTGAGACATCTGGATGGCATATGCTGTCCGGTGACGGAGACTAGCTCTATCTAATGAACCCAACTGAGTAGGTACATCTTGCCTGAAGACGGAAAGAGCCAGTTTCTGAAACGTCAAGGTTCCTTCTTCTTAAACAAGGACGATGGAAAACGTCCAGACAATGAATAATTTTAAGTGTAATCCACCATCGTCAGAAAACTTTAGAGGGGAAGCAGGAAGTTTCATTTACCGATGAGAGCTTGTATCTGTCTCTTAGCTTTGTGCAGTGTGTCACGAACTGGGGCACTAGATTGGGAGTCACTACTTCGCTGAGATTCTATACTCTTTTGGGATGTTAATGAATCACTGCTTCCTTTCCTCTCTGTCACAGACCAAGCAGCTCCAATTCCAGATTCTGTTACACTAGATGCCGAAAATTTTCCTGTAAAACCATTTAGTGTCACACAAACATAACCTTCAGAATAATTTAACCACATTCACTGCCCAAATCAATGTTGAAAAAATATATATATATATAAAAATACATAGCATAGCCTCTGCTGACAAGTGTCTTTCATGTTTCACCACAGTACAAAAGGCAATTAAGTATCCACAAAAAGTATTTTTCTTTATCTTTCTGTTATGTATTCTCTTCAACTCTTTCATCACCTACTTCAAACTCAAAAGAAAGTCAAAAATAATGAAAAAAAATCTGGACTACATGACATCAGTCAGACAATAATATACACTGATGATACAACATCTTCATCATCTGATGAGTCTGATGTCCTGCCACCAAAATGTGGAACCTAGAAAAGACCTGAAATTTACTGTGTTCAAACATTTTTACACTCAACAGGTTCTCAAGGTGTTTAAGAAAGTGTTAGTGTTGCATACTTCTATAGTGATTTGTTATGAACACACACTACTTAAAAGCAAGACCACAAACCTTTCAATCTAGACACTTATTATTTTTCTGCTTACCACTCATTTTCTCTTCCTGATATGCTCTATGGTTAGTTTTTGCTTCAGTCTTTACTCCCTTGCTTCTCTTCACAGAGATCTTCTTTTTTGAATATGAAACTTCAAGTCCAAGGGACTGTTTGCTTGGCTCATTTATCCTATAATCAAGGAAAGCAACAGCATAAACAACATTAACATACTTAAAATACAGCACATAAATAAACTAAGCATGAAAATAATCAATCATTATAAGTTATTTTGTAAGTCTATTATCAGCACAAAGGTTAAAGCACTTTCTTAGTGTTATATCAGGTTGTAGTCAGTTATGAAACATTCCACAAACTATGTAAAGCAGAACAGGATATATGAGATTTCAGATTCTGAAGGCAGTGAAGATGTTAATTATGGGTTGTAAAGCTCTGCAGTCTGTTAGGTAGTTACCAATATTTTGGAGGAACACCTGCAAGACCACCACTGACAAAATAAATTCCCGATTCAAACGGGGAAATTAAAAAGCAGATGGATGGAAGAATCTTGGAAAACTGTTTTATAAATTGTAAATGTTAGATAGCTCAGTCAGTAAAGATATAAGTTATGAGGAGGTAGAGATTGCTGTCTCTGCCACTCAAGTTTCCCATCCAACTGGTACTTAGGCTCTTCCTCAAAGTATAAAATTTAACAGTTAAAAAGAGAAGACAAATGCAACATACATACCCATTACATAAAAATTCTATTACCTAAGAGCTTTCCTATCACTGGAAGGAGCAGATAAAATTGCACTTGGTCCTGAAGGTCTGCTACCTGCCCCTACTGGTCCAGCTGAAGAAGTAGACTCAGGAACAGTGAATTCTGATTCACTGTCTTCCTGAATACCACTGCTCCTAAAAAGTAACAAATAATGCATTACGATAAGGAACTTGGAAAATGAGAACAACATAAACCAAGTTTAGAATGATGGCAGGAATCTCTTTCAGTGTGTGGAAACACCTGCAAAAAATCAACAAAACAGGAGGCAGAAATATGTTCCATGAAATATCAGCATACAGGGTCCCATAACATAACAAACTAGAAACTATTTTTTCTCACATTAATTACCAAAGGACAGACACAGAGGCTTACATTGGCCTCAGCCAGGTAGTACAGATAATGTTTGGTTTTAGGCCTGGTTCAGATGATGATAATCTCAACACATCAGGCTTTCTTGGGCCATTCTTTTTATGCAAGGAAACGTTATTCATAGTCGTACTCATCTTATGCTCATGACAGTCACAAAATTAAGAATCAGCATGGAGGGATGTGACACTACTTGCACAGCAAGTTATGATGGGACTGCACATGTAAGTTTATTGGGAACCCTTGGTTGGTGCTTCAAATGTAAAATTAACTCAGGTGTTCTTAGAACATAGTCAAATAATTCATTCAAGAGTTACTGGCATCTATGCATTAAAATAAACGTGTTACTGATATCATGGCAGATTGTAAATAGATCAGGCTTCATTTTGGAATAAAAGAAAGTCAGGCTTTGTTTGGGGGAAAAAACTGTCCCACCATATGCCATGCAGGCACTTAGGGGGAGGTATCTGACTGTTCTGACTATAATTTCTGCAACAAAAATTGTATAGCTGATAAAGACTACATTGTCATGTCCATACATGTATGATCTGCCAATGTGGACCATATCACCATTTTTATGAAGACCATACTGCTAGAGGCCATTTTGCTACAATGTTGAGATGAAAACTTAAGATAGGAGCACTCTTACAAACATTCCCTGCAGCCAGTTTCTCTAATTGCTTTTAAAATAGAGAACATCATACCATCCATGCAAACTATAGGCTTCCTCTCAACTTGACTATAACTGACGCACACCACCATCAAACCTACTAAGCTCAGGTATTTTACAGATTACTTTTCTGTGGGTTGAAAAGTACAATTCCCAGACTTCTGCTGAAGAAATGTATGAGATGTATGGAAATAACTGTGATCTGTTCTTGATATTTTTTGATCTTACATAAACACAATATTAAATAAAACTTTACACATACTCCTCTGAATCTTGCAATTCTCTGTCCTCTGCTTCTAACCGCTCATCTAGCTCCTCTTGACTTGACTCCTTTGAAAGGAAAGCTTCATCAGTGCTCTGGGCCGAACGAGAATCCATGTTGCTGGCTTGGTGGCGAGCCTGTAAAAAGTATTTTCTCCCTTCACTAAAAGTAAACAGATCTTATATAAAACGTGTACTAATATTAAAAACACATTTCAAATAAAAATATGGGAAAAGCTGTGACCCCTTGGAATTTGTCATTAACACAAAGGAAATTAATTTGATTAATACAAATTATATAAACTTATTACACTTCTGTTTATTTAATGATGATAACAGCAAGAGCGATCTTAGAGAATTAGGTTATGCGAATGGGAGGTGGTAATCAAGTACAATGACAGTAGTATCAACATCAGAGGCACTGCAGCACTGATCCAATACTTAAAAAAGGATACTTCTCATTTGTAAACTTCTGTGCAAAGTTTATAACCTTCATGCATATCACACTGAATATGTTTGCTTTAAGAAATCATATATGTAAGAGTGTGGAAAAGTATATCATATTCAGCAATAAAAAAATATAATTATGTTCATGAGTGACACCATTAAAAACACTTGACCTGCGTGGCAGTTGATGAAGAGAGTTAAGCGGTCAGTGGAAGCAATAGGTACTATGATTTAGCTGGTCAGACAATGAATTCATTGATAGGTTGTTCACCTATGTTCTTTCAACTGTATTGTGTCTAAGATTATCATGAATGATCAGTAGAACTTGAAAAGTGGTAACAATGGACATATATTATCCTGGCATATGGAAACCAAAAGATTACAACACACTGAAAACTGCTATGGATTGAAATTGAGGACCTTCCAACTAGACTTTTATCCATTTCTCTTCCTCTGCACACCCATCTGACTGGGCCAGTCCACAAAGAACTAAATCTTAAATGTTTCACACATAATTTCTCTTCTGGTAGGAAGAGATGCTACTGGAACAACACATCTAAAGAACAAGACCAGACTATGAATAGTAACTGTGTAAACAGACAATAATAATAATTGAACGTACAGAATCACACATTACTTACAGAGAAGCTTTTAAACAATTCATATACACTCAAGGTGTAACAAGAGTTGGAAAACAGTTTTTTCATATCCATGAAGAAATTGTTCCACGTTTAAACTGTTCACATATCATTACTTACAAAATATAACATACACTGAGTTTCACAGGCAAGCAAACTCCAATAAGTATACAGTGATTCAACTGAAATAACGGCATCAAATCTAATTTACTTTTTCTACTCACCTCTTCCTCTCTGGTATGTTTGGCCTCCATAAATCTTCTCCTAGCCAGATATCCCCTGATGTGTGCCTGGAACACCACAATACCGGACCTCAGTTTCCGGTACCAGGCACTTGCCTTGTATGAGCGCCAAGCCCTTTGAATCTGTAATGCTGCTGTTAGTCGTACTCGCGTCTGGTTTAATAGCCGTTGTGCCAGCAACATGCGCCATTGAGACTAAAGGAACCATAACCCAATATAATTCAAACATATGGTTCAGTAGGAGTCCTAACATTCAGTTTTTCTTTCTTTCATCTGTACTTCAACTCTTATATACAACTGGATAAATCTGTTTGTGATAATAAGGTATTTGCATATTGCACTTTGACCCATTACAAGAAAATTAATAACATACCAACATAATCTTATATGCAACATATTTATTATAAAAGTAGTCTTGGACAGGAAATAAAGCAGTATGTACTTTACATCTTTGACCTTCTTCTTTATGCATTTAATAGCATAGTGTTTAGATATAAAGGCAAGTTTGTCTACCTCTTCACTAAATTGTCACATAATTACATCACTGCACAGCAACCGAAATGCTAGATCATGGAAAGAAAGACATGCCTTCAAGAGTAACCTGAAGGAATGTTATTGCTAAACTTATTTAATCAACTATTCTTCAGACTGTGGAAAACTTAAATTCTTGCTCTTGTATCTGTAAACCCTTCAACAATATTAAGTTTATGAAGTCAATGTAAAGTACTAGTAAATTTAAAACAAAAGTTATGTTGATAATCACTTAAAAGTGTACACAGTGAAATCAAATTAATTCATCAGATAATTTCTATTAACAATTACATGAAGTGCAATGAAATGACTGGGCTAAAATCAAGCTGGATTGTATATGCAGGAGAAAGTAGAAATGGATTAGCATGAGAGAAGCCAGTATACACACAAAATATTTTAAATATTTCTCAGTGTTTGAAAATCTTAAGTTCTTATACACAGGTCACACAAAGGCACAAAGAAAAATTGATTTACCCTTCAGATATGAGATATGGCATCTGTTATAATATATGGAAGTAAACAGACTGAAAGGATTCAACACACAAATGAAAGTGACAATATGCATTACAAAGCAAAGCACTAGAATTACAACTGACATGGAGAAGACCTATAGAAAAACAAGAAGCTAATGGGGGAATCAAGACTGCTGCATAGACTATGAAGCAAAAAATGGTAAGTTGATTGTGAGTTATGAATTGGAAAGGTATGACCACAGCCTATTTTGAGGTACTACGCAAGAAATTGTTTAGAAAAACTAAGAAAAACTGCACAAAAAGAACTCCCAGGACAGCTGGTCCCCACGCTTGACATTCAAACACAGGATGTTCTGAATGAAAAACAGAAGTGCTTACTACTCAGTCATGATATTCAGTTCAAAGACACACAGAAATGTTAAGAAACTAGCTTTCAAAAGTCCAGGCACAGATAACACTTACAGCTGAATTCTATGACAAAACTATGATTTATATAGTACACTAAGATTCAGACTGTGCTCTTCTGAGTTACTGTGCCATGTAGTCTTAGCATTATTTTAGGAGAACAAACTTCAGTGATGAATCAAACGTAAACAAAGGCTGACAAAATATTCCTGTATATACTAGCTGCTCTGCATTATTAAATCACAGAGAAGATACAGGAAATGGATAGCAACCTACATCATTTCTACATGAAACTTTCTGCTTGGATGAAGATACAATAGTCATATATGATTTATGGGCGGGAATGATACAAGCTTACCTTCTTACACCATAACAGGAGTACACATAAATGACACAAGAATAAAGACATTTAAATTCTTCTATCTACAGTAAATTCCAGAGGAAATTACTAATTCAGTAACACGTTATCATCTAAATACAAAATAAACAACAACAATGAAACATGTTAATAAATAATAGGAGTTAAAAATTTTTGAACACTTCATGAGAGACTCTAAATTTTAATATAGCAATCAATTACTTGATATGTAGTTTTATGGGTTCAAAAGTGTGTTCTAAAATGAAGTATATATAAGAATTAAACATACTCATCACTATGAATAAAATTTTAAGAGTCTCATTACATTTTGTCCTCTGTGAATCCATATTTATTCCTATAACTATCATCACTTTTCAATTTCTTAATTTGTCAATAATCCTGAAACACCATTTAACAAACCACAAACAATTAACATTTAACTTGTTCCAGCGTGTCTAATGACAGTAAGAGAAGATAAATTATAAAACAGATTTGTCATCCAACCATACACTACATTTGTACTGAAAAGAAATAACCTCGGAGTATTAACATTTATAGTTAAAATGCTGTAATTCAAATAAGATTATCTGTTAATTAGCCCCACAATAACCTGAAAACATGCAACTCTAGTTTACATTTAATTTCACAACAATTTTAACATTTACAAAATACAATAATCACAAGTAGAGAAGGGGGCATGATGACATACAGGTACATACATACAAAAAATTTGACTAGAAGTATCAACTCTGAACAGATCAATATAATGCAGAAAACTGACCTATTATACAAATGAAAATAAATTTTGAAGTGAAATCTCCCTATCTCATTAACTTAAACCCAGTTTAAGAATCACAAAATGCATAGTGTGTTGCTTCAGGAAGTAATTTTTCCTAAACAATGCCCAGTTTTAATTTTATTTATTAAAATACAATGTGTGACAAATATCACTGTGCATGACGTTACTGACCACAGCAGTCACAGAAGACTGTGTTGTTCCTAATGACACAATGAAGTAATGATGAAGAAATGGCATACACAACAGAATAATGTATGTTTTTGGTAAGACTATTTTAAAAGACTCATAACTTTACTCAAGCTCAAAAGGAATTTAAAGAAAAATTCAAGACCAAAAAAGCTCCAAGCAGTTCTGAGAAAACAAATTAAAAGGAAGCCTGAAATGAGTGGAATGATATTTGACAATAAAAAGTATGTTTTTAGTAAAAATAAATTTCAAGGCTATAGAAAAAAAATGTATGCGTTAGACAATGACCGACACACAATCTAAGAAAATCAGTGTAAGACATATTTTTCAACAACAGAATCAACAGTCATAAAAAAACTGAAAATATGTGAAATTGTTTCCATACAGAATTAAAATGAAAGTCATTTGGTGAGGGCAATAAAAACAAGAGAGTTGATTTCTGTGGCCTGTTTCTGCATCTTTTAGAGGACAATCCTCCAGTTCTGCACAGCACATAGTTTAAAAATGAGCCCACTTTCATATGAATGGATACATTAACAAGCAGAATAAAAATATATGGGCCACAGAAGACACACATGAAACAATGGACACTAACGCCACTCCTAAGAACGTGCGATATGGCATGCTGCTTTGGCTTGGCTTACTACTGGGACAATTTTTCTTGAAGATACTGTGAATACTGGCCATTATCAATCTCCACGTGCTTTAAAAATTGTTTGTACTGTTCCTATAATGCTTGTACATAAAATCCAAGAAAAAATTTTTCAACAGGAGAGGGCTCAACTGCATACAAAAATCACAGTGCTAGATGTTCATGAAAAAATTATAATTTTTTACTGGCACATTATGGAATTAGCTGGTCCCAACCAGCAATCTCTCCAGGTTTCAATCCACGTAATTTCTGATGAGGGTTTCTTAAAAATACTGTTTAAGAAACAATACATAAACAATTCAAGAGCTGAGGCAAGACATTTTAGCTAGCTGTGATCGGCACCAACAAATATGTTTTGGCTGGAGTAATGAAAACTTCCCAAAGACACTACAACTGGTTTTGGATGCCAACAGTACATATGTTAATTTTTAACAAGACCTCCAGTATCTGAAAATTGCTGTGTTCAGTAACACCAAACATAAAGATGTCTGTCCTGTAGTTTAGTACATAAAAAAATTAGAACTAATGCATATTTTTGGAAAGACCCTGAATTAACAGAAGCTTCTATATGCAAGATAAACGGTTACTAAATACGTTATGAAAAGAGTGCTGTATGAAATGCTGAATACTTTGAGCAGCCAAACCTGCAATATTTCAGTGAAAAATTAAAAGTGACTACATAAGTAGCCCTGCATGGCTACCTAAGTTCACTGTACTGCATGAATCAGTGAATAAATTGCTTTCTAACATTCAGTTAGCCTGTGTTTCTGTGATACATCTGTCCTATGCAACACAAAATAGATTTCTCATGAAATGACTACAAATTAGTTTATTAAGTCATACTTGAGGCACTCAATTAACATCTATTATCTAATGAAAATTTTAGCCTCATATATGCCCAAATGTAGTATCTCAACTGTAGCTTTCTCTTGTATGCTCTAGATATAGAATGTCCTTCTAGTCAATGAGATATTCAAAGAATCACATTATAATTAAAGAAATGGAACATTAACAATGGAGGTAAAAATCACTCTGTTTCCTGCAACAACACTCACTGTGCATGGCAGAGTTTTGTGCTGCTTGCCCACTGATGCTGTGGAGTAGACTGACTTATCACACCAACTGGCAGTACATTTATGACACTAGAATGGGAGAATATATACTGTGTGTTGGCCTGTCTAAAACAGTGATTCAGACTGGAGAGAACGGCAATGTCTTAAAAGACTGCTAGAAATATTTGATGGATGCAACTTCTAACAACATACATCGTAGTTTATTTTTCAACATAAGTTTAAACTCATAATAAATCTAAAGTATCTGTAAGCTATGAAGCAGGAAGACTCCAGGAAGAGGTCCATTTCAATATAAGACAGATTAATACCATGTAAAGCCTCAAACAGCTTATCCTGGACCCAATCTGTGACTGTTCCCCACTGTAAATTACCTTACGATACTGTATCAACTGAAGCAGTTACAGAATGTCATATGAGATGTGAGAATAATTATGAATGAAAAACTCTGAGGAACGTAAGAGAAAGACGTGGCCTACTTCCAAGTACTATCCTACATCTATACGAAACAAATAAAACTAAATATACAAGACAGACAGATTATCACAGCTAAATCTGCTCAGTGTTAACTTTCCTCATATGAATCAAAGCAGCATAATGGAAGTGACAAGACTAAGTTGAAAATGTTAAGAATTTCAGTGAAATCTAAGTATACTCTGTATGATAAAAGAAACACACATTTTATCACAAATGTTTGCACTCCACATTTGAACATTCAGCCAGCAGTTATGTAATGTAACTTGTAGAAGTCACCAAACAAAGACAGTTTTAGTAGCTCCAGCATTTTTAAGAATGTATATATATATAAACAAAATGAATGAATATATTTTACAAACAGATCGACAAGAAAGAACGAGCATGATGCCAATCATTCTGTGTCCTATTTTAACACAGCATAATGATGTAGATTCCATTTACAACTTAATTTTAATACTCAACAATGAGAAACAAAACCAGATTATTGCTAGTGTCAATTGCCTGCTATTTTACTTATAGTAGAATACCATCTGAATACTCAATTAAAAATTTAATATGTTTTAAGGTTTACTAACAAGTCAATTAACACAAAATTAAATTCCATGCTTTGAAGGTTTTACTGTTTTATGTTATTCTTCGGTATATGGATGAACACTGAAGTAAGAGTTCATTGTAATCAAACTTTTAGGGAACTCACTTCACAAACATGCACTCCTTAATGTTTCAAATGTGAAGTTCTATAAAAAATATTTATAAAATGTCAAAAGTGCATGGTTAGTCATTAATCATAATAACAATCAGTCTGTTTATCAAATGCCAAGAGATGTGTTTAGATTATATGGTCAAAAGACAGCGACATATAAGTAGTTTCATTTATATGTTCACAGTGACAAAATTTACGCACCTGAATGAGAATCACAGCTTCCCGTAGTCGACGGAACCTCCGCTGTTCCAGCATAGCACGAGTCCAACGCTGAATTGCAACAATACTAGCCATAATTTGTTGATGTAGCCTGTAGTCCAGCTTCACCTTCTCAGACTCTCTCAAGAAAATTTTGCTGGTACCAAGCTGGTAGTTATCACGGTTCAAATTCAGGGTGAATAGGAAGTCACGAACATCTGCTTGAGAACTGTTTAAATGATAAGGCAAAAGAATACAGAAGAATATGTACAGCTCACAAGAGAGAAACAAAATTAAATGATTTAAAATATATGAATGCTACAATTACAATTAAATTCACATGCAAGCATGATGATTAGTAAATATGTATTAAGTTTAGTATATGTACACAAAATCCAAATTCATTGACCAGTCAGGACAAAATAAGTGTGATCTGTATAAGATCGATATTCATACAAAACTTCCATAATTCTGGCAAAATTGGTGAAGCTTCACTAAAATATTGTAACCATCTAGCTGGAATTAATTTAAATATAGACATAGTCATGACTTAACACTATCATTACAAGTGTACCAAGACTACTGCTTAATGTTTGCAGAAAAAATGTCAGGGAGTTGAAAAATTATGTTGTATTAATAATCCTGCTTGTGTACTACTCTCTTGACAGACTCCTGAATATACATCCAGTTCTCTGTAAAGAAAAATAGGCACAGTTGGGAATATAATATAATGGTTCTTCAAGAAATAAGGTATGGACTGCATTCAAGTGGTTCTGGATAGGGTCAAAAGGCAGGCTTCCATGAACATGGTGACAAATCTTCAGGCTGAATAAAAGCACAGAATTTTTTGTCCAGCTGAATAACTATTAACAGCTGAAGAAAAGGCCTGTATTATAGTTAGTTACTCAGAATGATATATTATAATAACCAATAATCAAGGCACAATTAACACATACCTAACTAGTCCTTTTGGTAACAGGATTCTATATAACTGTATAAATTCATCATATGTAAGCCGAACATTGTACCCAGCTTGTCGAATTCTCACTGTCTCAAGCATACCCGTGTAACGCAACTGGCGCTGAACTGTCTCTTCATCAAATTTGTTAGGAATCTGCAAAAAGTAAGAGTTCCATATTTACATTCAAGAAATGTTCACTAGTGAATGATGGTCTTCAAAACCTATAAATCAGTTTTGCCCAGCAATCACATTTTAAAAACATTTATGGGTACATCCTGCCAAATGCACTTGGAAGTATGGCAGAAAATTTAATAAATTTCCTTTATGAGCCTTTGCCTGAAGGAATAGAGAAATTTCCCAAAGCTTGTAACCTCAGAATTCCCACTTACTTATATACCCTTTAAGTCAGTTCAACAAATCTCATTACCAACACACTATACAAGACACAGAATAAATCTATTTACATGAATCCAAAATTTGAAACAACTTGCCTTTATACATAGTTTATTCTACCAACTGAGTAGTGATGTATTTATTTTGAAACAGAAACTGAAGTTTTCAATATTATTTAGACAAATGTAAGCTTCAAAGTGTAAAAATTCCATATCTGCTGCTGTACCTGTGATGTATCATAGTAACCTCTGCATGTTTTTTCAAAACAAAATGTTGTTGCTGCAAATATAATAAATTTTTAATATAGATTTGTAGGCTGGTAGAATGTACAATTTCTACCAGCACATGGCTGTGTAAACCTTTAAATATTCAGAAAATCTGCTTAGAGTTTCTAAAGATACTGTCAACTCATCTGTTCATTTGGAATACTATTACTCACCTTATGACTATTACTCTTTATACATCGTATGAAGAATGGATTAGCCTGGTTAAGTGTATCCATGAGGCTATGGAGAGACTGCTGAAACTGAGCAGTAACAGTGAGAGGCTGCTTTCTTGCCTTCCCAAGTTGCTGATTACTACAACCATAACTCTGGGTTCGTCCTGCCAGTGTCTTCACAGTTTGCAAGTTCTTCAAACCCTTTTTGCCTCGTTCCCTTGGTCGAAAGGACTTGTTTTTCCTGTTCAAAAAAATCAATACTAATTTTTAGGAAAGCATCACTCCAAAATACAAGGAATCTTACATTACAATCACACACAGCATGTAGTTATTATAATGCTATGAACCCAATACTGTGTAGGCAAAATTTCACAGTAAACTAATTTTAGATACTCTTATACTGAGTTATATTATCATTAACATTTGGCCATTTAGAACATAATGATGCAACAAATAAATAATGAAGGAAACAAGTAATATTTCACCAAAAATCACTAGCATTCTCTGTAACACAGGAAATTAGTGATATTGGACCAAAGATCACTGGCATTTTCTGTCACATTCATATAAAATTAATTCCAGATCCACAGGTCAAACTTGTTTAGAGAAGCGTGTCCTTTTGTTAGGACAACTAGTGGACAGTTTAAATGATTAAGAGTCGGTTAAAATTAGGCTTGGAACAAAGTAAAACTGTACATTCTGAAAATATATACACAGGCACTAAAGATTACTTTGAGTTTTTAGGGTAACTAACTAAAGCAACTATACATTTAGCAACTATATACAAAATTTGATTTGATACAAGATTTGTTATAAAGCTCCCTACGAGTTCAGTGTATTAATAAAATAAAAATTACACTAACAATTTCAGGTATCTTCCCAAATATTCCAAAAAGGGTTCTCACACCCTTTTATGAGATGATGTTAATGCTAAAGTGGGATGCCACACAATATTTGACAAGATCTCCAGTACTGTATAGTTCTAAGAATGTCCTATTATAATCCTCATGAGATGCATTCAATCTAAAGCCTACTTTTCACTCATCCTTGTTCTAGGAAGTTCTTTCAATATTTTGTAAGTACCATACTAGCATATTTTCTGCCCTGCTGGAATCTGGTTTGGTTTATTGCTGTTTTCCTAATTCCTGTTATTAAGTAAGCTAGGAAATTTGTGAGAGAAGTCACCTATTTATCATACTCTCAAAACTCCTATGAATGAAAAAAGAAAACTGTAATGCTAAGAGGAAGAAGAGGCTCCTTTTAAGTTTCCAAATGGCATAAACATAGTTCAACACAAACCTTTGCATGATATGGTATGTTACATCATTACAACACATAATTTGTTCAACTATTTTGAGGTCCTCAAAAGCATTTAACTAATTTAGACTGAAATTTTACAATTCTTTTCTGAATATTCTGTTTCAAATTTCATCACACAAGATATATTCAGAATCAAATAAGTTGCTTCTTTCTAAATTTCTAATCGATATTTCAAACTTCAATTAAGGTTGAAAAAGTCCACCAATATAATCTCATCACAACATCTGCACATTCCATACTGACAAACCTCCAATTATCCAGAATACAATAAAATGTGGCAATATAGCAAATTATGTGTTATTATTATGCCTATATATAAGAAAAATTCCCTCTAAGCCTATATCCACTAGTAAGGAAAGGGGAACATGATTTTTATGAGCAGCTAACATTTGTAGAAGCAACAGGACATGGCTGCTCTGAATGGTACAAGCATGCAACAGTAATTTGTTATCTTACAAACAGGAAATGAGAATGAGGATATTAATCACACCACAATACTCAAAAAATTATGATTGTATACCCATTTAACATATTTGTAAATACCTATAAGAGTTCATGCAAACAATCTTACAGATGGGTTTCATTGAGAATGTTCAATCTTACAAAACAAGTACAATGTTTCAAACAAACAGATAATTAAAAACACTCCTTTATATTCAAGCATCAATTTTAATAATAATGAATAAAACATACATCATAAATTACAAAACTTCCTCTGCTCTCTTTAAATGGAATGTATTACAGATAAGAGAACATTATGTGCAGTTTTAATTTCAGTATGTTTTTCTTGATGTGAAAAAACACTCACAAAGGGTATATCTAAAAATTTAAATCTTTGTGTAACATTCAACACATGGTTCAGTGAAATATCCTCAAAGCAATTGCAAATTTCCTTGCTGATCACTGTGGACTTCTGAGAACAGCTCTTCTTACATTTTCAGTACTGTCTACAGTTATGGTACCCTATTTCACATAACTTCTGAACCCATAGCTTAACTGTGTTGCGAGCAGGAATACCATCATTATAATTTATGTTAAAATAGCAATGAAACAAACTGTGTTTATAAAATGTTTTGTAACATACTTCGTTATGTTAAAATAAATACAGTAAAAATATTTTTTTAAGTTATTTTCATTTCAAAACTGTCAGGTTTCTGTGCCACGATCTGTAACAATTTAAGTTGGTAAGGGTGAGAATGGACTTCACCTTCTTCAAGGTAGCCTTCAGTTTGTAACACACAATTCCTGACAGAAGCTTATATAAACAATATAAAGCAAAGAGTTTATAAAATAAAACTCTAAAATGATAATAGAAGAGGAAACAAAAATAAAGTCGATTTTAAGCCTTCACAGAAGTCTGATGTTCATGCTGTATCTACTTTTAAACTAAGGCACAATGCAGATTTTGGCTGTATTGTCAACATTTTAAAGTTCATTACTGTTTCCATAAGGACTTAAAGATAAAGACAACGAGAATCACCATATTATCAACAACACAACCCATACATAAAGAGTGCCACCCATCACCTAAATACAGTATTCAGATTAAAGAAAAGAACTGTAAGGATGGGAAAGAAAAGTAAAACCTATCACCAAATAACCCCAAAGCCAAATATTAGTGACAAAACAAATCCCAAACAGAAACAAAATAGCAATTTTTTGTGTACTGTATCACAATATAATATCATAGTTACTGGCCATCACCTAGTCAACTGATATAAATAACTGAAGAGCAACTATTCACATTCATATTTCATAGCTCAAAACTCCAGCAGCTGACACAGAACTTTCTATTCCTTTGAAAATAGAACAAACATGATTAAGTAACAGCCCTATTTATAACAAAGTGCTTGCACCAGATTAAACTTTGCCAAAACAATGGAATCAAACTTAAAGATTGTAAAATCAGAGCCTAATTATTATCTCCTGCCATATCAAATTCCATACATAATGTTTAATATTAATAACACAAAAATAAAAATTTACATGACCAAAATTCTGCTATTTTCCATTATCACAGAACTCACCTTAAAAACTGAAAAATTTTCATACACGCAAACAAACAAATTTTAAGAAAATAATCCTTTATTGAAAATAACCAAGTCTTCATTTACCTGAACTACTATCTACGAATTATGAGCCGGCATACATCAGTCAGTATAGTGACCGGCTACAGACTGGATGACAGGGGTTCGATCCCCAATGGAGGCAGAGGATTTTTCCTCTGCATCCAGACCAGTTCTGGGGCCCACCCAGCCTCCTATCCAATGGGTACTGGGGTCCTTTCCTGGGGGTAAAGCGCCGCCAGGGCATGATGCTAACCACTCACCCCATCTAGTGCCAAGGTCAAGAATGTGTAGGCTCTATTCCCCCCAAACGCCTACATGGCATACAGTGGGACAGCTTTACTTTACTTTTACTATCTATCAATTTATGGAGAAAATAGCAGAAATATGTATGAAAGAGACAACAATGTAGTGCTGCGCACCAAGGCTGCTTTGGAAAATCTCTGAAAGTGCTGAAGTTAGATTTAATAGCATCCAAACTCTGCATTACCAAGAACTTCGATTTTATCATGTACCATACACTTCATAGCAAATTTATAATAGTTGCTTTTGAGTTGTAAGTCAGCATGTCTGAAGTAAACAAGGCTTACCACATCATTTTTAGTCACATTAATGCCCACTTCCAACAATGCATGCTACAAGATGCACAACTTCCTCCACCAATGCTCCTACCAGGAACGAGAAAATTTACGTACATGACAATCTGATTTGCTCGTTCCAGAACTTTAGCTTCATCTGGACACAGTACTCTCTCCAGTGCGCCTTGCTGTCGATTCAAAGAGTCTCTCCTGGTTTGTGTGGATTCCTGAGTACCTGTCTCAGTGCTAATCATTGGTGTTACACTATCACACAATGGTAAAGATGGTGCTTCTCTGACAAAGGAGAACTCACTCTCAATTCGTTGTTGAGGATTTGTTGTGTTGGTGTTGCGGAACTGTGGCCATGATAATCGATTATGGCTGTTACCTGGGCTTGTTTGTAATCCAACCTGAGATTCGCTGTTATTTGTGCTTCGTTGTTTCTGACAGCCATATGACAATCGAGATGAGCCACTAACATTGCTGTTATGTTTTGGTGAAAAGCTGGAAAATGTTGGTGTACTTTTTGATGTAGGCATAAAATATGTAATACATTTGTAGTCAACAAAACATAATTTACATATAAACAGCTATTGAAACTACCAATAAGCTTGCTCAGAAAGTGTGAGGTTACAGCACAGATGGCAAAAAAAATTTAGAACACATTCCTGGAGTATGTTAACACTATTGGATTGGCAACAAGTTGTTATCAGTACGGGGTTTTAGCTATTTATTAAATCTCTGATCCTCCTAAAGCAGTAAATTTAAAAGGGCTGTGGTCCTTTCAAGTAGTAAAACAGTGTACTCTCATTTATAATACGGATACAAAATAAGATGAAACACAAGTGCTAATATTTAAAAAGAATGGGTAAAGGGTTAAACAACTTTGTTAAAGAGAACATAAATTTCCTTCATCAAACATCTTTCCATTTTATATGGGTCAACAGAAAATCAACATTTGATATTAATTACTTAACCATTACACAATGAAGCTGATGAACCTATGGACGGAAAATACACAAATGAAAGTACTATCTGAAGCACACACACACTGTAAAATATGAAACACTATACTACACAACCTGCCAAGACACTACTGTAACTATGATATACAGAAACGCTGATTTGACATGATTTTACCCTTCGAATAAATGCTGTAACACAGCATTATTTCCAAGAACGATTTATGGAATCCATCAAATGTCATAATAATGTTCTCAAAATACCAAAAAACAATAAAATAAAAAAAATTAGCAAGCACCTCCCTGATCAGGTTTAGGACTGACTTGCAGATCAGCCTGTTCTTCACTTATTTTGACAGAGTGAATGAAGGCAGTCAATATCTTGCATTGGCAAATACAGTACCACCTACAAATCACAGTAGAAACCAGCCCATCTGACAATTTTATAAATATGATCAATGACCACTAGAGAGAAAACAGAAGAGGACATAAGAGAGGATACAGAAGAATGCACAAGGACTTGTCACAGGACAACATACTGCTGGAAATTTCAAGCATGACGACAAACATTTCAACTATCATTTTCTCATTCTTTCAAGTAATTCTGATGTTTTAAGATAGAAAAATAAATTTACACTTTTGAGCATCTATCTTAAAACTTGTAAATAATAATTGATAAAAGCTTACAACGCCACACAAACTAACACATGGACTCAACTAGTGTAACTTCAACAACAGTTTTTGCATTTCACCTTAATTACGTCACAGGTTAATCAATGGCGGAAGTTTGTTGAAAATCAGGCTTTCTATTTCCAAATAATGAGCAGACACACATATTCAGTTTCTATAAAGAGAATCAATGATCAGGATTTCTTTCATTCATTGGACATTAAATACTCGATCACATTTCAATTTACACCACCCTCTCCTAGCACCACATAGTAAACAGACCCCACAAGGTGGGAGAACAGTGTATCACAACTTCATTAAGATAGCAATTCTACAAAATGTAACATGACCCCAATCAGTCAGAGACATACATACAGCTATGGAAGTTGAGAATGTAACTGATAGCAACTTGTTGAAAGAAAATTATAACATTCAAAAACAAGCATCTTCCTGCATACATAATACACATTTTCTGGAATCATTCATCTTACCTTTCTTTAAAAAAAAAAAAATCTCCAGATAGTGCAACAACCAGTAAACATGTAAGTATATTACAGGCAACACTATGAGGAGACACATAACATACCAAGTTAACCAAAAACACAGTCAAGCCAGCAGTCCGTGAACACATAACAGTATATTTATTGTAGGGTAAAGAATGTGAAAAAAATAAGAACTAAAACTTAAAACACACTGCAAGGACTTGGATAACAGTGACCGAAGGTACGATCACTTACGCAATCCTGTTAATCGTAAGATTCACTGCAGAAACTGTCACTAGATGGCTAAGAGGAAACAAGAAATCCTATTTAGTGGCTATACAGATATATATTTACTGCATAAATAAACTTGAAGGTGTAAAAATTATATCAAATATGATGCCCATACTCTGATATAATTTGAGTTTCTTTTTTGAAGTGACACTGCTATAAACCCAAGCACTGGGTCCCATAAAGATTGTAAAAGATTTAGAAATAAACTGCATATATAACTAATATTCATACATAAAAGTACAAAATTCCATCTGTGGCATAATATATGTTTATTTTAAGTTTTTAATATGCTCTCAGCCACATAGGTTATTAAATTTTCTCTCTTCAATATGAGGTAGGCCAAATGCAAACTTTCCTCTAGGCACATACTAAAATTCAAAAACAGTGCACAACCCATTTGACAAACACAATACTAGTCACACAAGCAATACATATGAAGAATAAATAAATACAAATGTAAATTCTCACCTGATCAAATTCTCGTTTGGAGTGTGGTTTCTGTAACGGCTCTGTATTGCACTTGGTTTATTGCCATCTGCTGAAAAAGCACATGTAACATTCACTACAGGAAACCTCTTTTAAGTAAAATAAGAAGTGACTCGCCAGGACTGTGTCATGAAGAAATTACATACTTAAACCTTAGAGACTGAAATGGACATAAATATCCTGTGAAATGTTTTACTGCTGGCCAAAAGGGACATAAATGTCCTGCCATGTCATGATATTACAACTTTTATACATTCAAATGAACAGTGCCTCATATGTCTGAAATGTTTCAAAGGCCACACATGTTGCCAGAGAACCATCCACTTTATGGGGTGGGGTTTCTCAGGGACAGCCTCCTGAAATTTGTTTTATGATTCTCTGCACTTTAAAGCATTTAAATGCCAATTTAATCTGTCTGTAAGGTTGCACATAAAGATCTTAATTCCCGTATTTTAAGGTCAACAGACAAGTAACGGGATAAACACAAGTGTCATTTCTTACCGTAGTTAAGTGAATTCTCACCTCTGCACAGCCTGTGCTTTCTACCGGCTTCATGAAAAGCAAAATATCCCCGGAAGAATGCTCGAACAATGGCCCATCGAAACACAGCTACAGGATCTGCTCCAACCAATTCTCTCACAAATGCCATGCTACTGTTTTTCAAAACACCAACTATATCCTGACGCATCAAGTCCAGGTTCTTCTCCCTCATCTCCAACACCTGCCAAACATCAAAAGTTATACTTTAAAATTATTATAAGTTATATTTATTAAAATTACCATTACTATACTTGTACACACTGTTATGTAGGTGCATACAGACTGCACCCTGTCTTCAGGTAAAAACCAGCACTTTAATTTCCATTATAATTTCCTTTGAATTTTCATCAGCTCCTGAACTGCCATTCTGATTCAAAACATACCAATTTTTCATTTGGTGTAGTTCACAATTCATACAGTTCTGATGACATTTATTTTCAGACATCATCACTTTTGCTTTATGTATTAGTCCCAGTTACGATATCATGTTTATCAAATGCAGTAATAAGAGTAAATATTGTGTGGTCAATACAGGTTGTCTTCACAGATCATGTCACATATTTTCAGCATTTCATGGGAAAGGAATGAGGAAAAAGACAATACTGAATTTCCTGATTAAAGCTTTGAAACACAAGTGTCATCTATATATAAACATATATGGACAATGCACAATTAACACAAAGTTTTAAATATATTTTCTTCTGTTATGAGAACAGAATGTGTAAAAAATATTATGACAATTTTTAATTTCCTACACAGATACAAAATAAGTACAATTTTTTACATCTGTTTATCATAGAACATCAGAAATTTTGTTATTCTGACTTTATTTCAATAGCCTCTACGAACTTAATCTTAATGCTTTTTTTAATCCAGTAAACAATGTACACTAAAACATAATTATAAACTTTAATTAATAAGCCCAAACTGGCCAATATAGTCTACAGTTATCACAGATCTTAATGTTTATGAACATTTTAATGTAAAAGATGAAGAATAAAGTAATATTCATCATGTCATATCATATTGTGTCTGTGTGGGCACGTGTGCATATGTTTTTATATATATATATATATATATGGTTGGAAACATCCCTGAAGATGACTAAAACCCCGATCAAACCATTTAGTATCTAATAAACAGAATTTTAGACCACAATCACCATTTGTTCTTCATAATGTCTATAATACATTGAAAAATTAGACAAATTATTATAAGTGCAACAATTTTAAGTGAACCAAAATATAAATATATGCCAATAATTTTGACAAAAAATGATGCTGATGACGACAACGATAACAATGAAAACAATCTTATTTTTAATAATTATATTATTCCTGTACACATGTGCAATCTTATTTTTAATAATCATCTTATTCCTGCACATACGTGCACACGCATGTGCATGCACACACACACACACATATATTTTAGCTAAAATCCATTATCTCCTCCTAACTGATTCTGATCAAACTGCATGTAATGTCACCCCACCTAACAGACTAAAAGAGCAAACAGCTCACTGCAAGCACTCATGGCAATCACAGGCTTGATGAAGAAAATGTAAATTTGCAGTATGATGTCTTTCAGACTCACAGTGCCACTTATTTCAGCAGTTCTCTTCCTTTTTCATATTTTACATGGCTACTGTTAAACATTAAAGAAATCCTTAGGCCATTCAGTGTGTTCAAAAATCCCTTTTCATACAATTTTTCACTGTAGTATTTATAACTCCAAAAATCACAAGTCTTATCTCCCTCAAATTTTGATTCTTGCTATACACTTTAAAATTATCTTCCATGTCCTAATATTAAAAGTAATTCAAACAAAATGGAATGAATACACACAATAAATTTTACCTGATACTTGACTTTTCCAGCATAATGCCTGACAATAAATGCTGCTTCCCTCCTTTGTGGAATTTCATAGAAGTTATTTTCTTTGTGGACAGAGTTGAATTTCTGTAGCAGTGTTTCATTTGTTGCTCCAGGAAAACTGAAAGGAATGGTATGGAGCTATAGAGTGAGCAATATGCTAGATTTACCCAAAACATAAACCAGAAAAAACACAAAGACATGGTATCAACCCATTTTCTGCAGAAAAAAATTTCATACGAAACTGAAGGTCAAAGGCTACAGAAGGTAACAATAAAACCAATGAGAGTTACACACATCTGAAAAGCATTTTGGCAGCTTTTAAACAAGCCCAACATGAGCTATGTAGATTGTACAGATCAATATTTATAATAATTTTTAGTGAAAACATGTAAACAAATAATTTTTTGTAACAAGTTTTACACCCCTGCAACACAAAAGCTGAACAACATAAGGTGCTGAAATTTCGTCAGAATACTATTTTCTATGGAATGTACAAGCTCAACAACTTATCCTGAAATCTGAAAAGGCTGGACTCTGGTCTGTGATGAATTTACATACAATGAATTTAAAGTTAATTTCACAGCACAAATATTTGACGAAAGTCAAACATCATAGAAAGTGGGTTAACTAGTCATGTTCAAACGCATACTCACTTGCACTGATCATCCAACAAGCAGAGCAAGCCATTGGGTTTTCCTTCAATCAGCTGCAAGCAGGCTGTATTGTCCATGAAATCAATGTTTGTCCAGCGGATGCCTTCCTTACGATATTCTTCTTGTTCATACTTAAAAACATGCTGATTAAAATAATACTGCAGATGCTCATTAGCATAGTTGATACAAAACTGTTCAAAGCTAAAAAAGAACACAATAATATTTACATTAAAATAAAATTCTTGTATCACATTCAGACTACTGAAAGATCTTTCACAAGATGATTACTGAGTAATTAAGTGTTTAAGGAATGGAAGGCAGTAAATGTTGCCTAATTTAAGGTAATACCCTGGAATTCACATGTAAAAACTGAGAACAGCTATCAAAAACATCAATCAAGATAGCTGGTATCTGAGCCAAGATTTGAATCTGCAACTTCCCAAATATAAAACAAGTGCTAAACATTCAATACCTAAATGTGAAAAAATAACTTAAAAGTTAATCCCTCAGAAAAGATCCCATACTTCATTGCCTAAGACTGAATGAGGGTTTGTCAATCCAGAAAATTTATACAGCCTTAACATTTCAGAGATGATAATAATATTGTCTTTGTAATAAATCCATTGATGACAATTTTCAGTAAATACACATTACAAGAAGAGGATCACTCATCTACAGTCTGGAAATATCCAGTGTTCATGCCAATAAGCAGTGTATAAACTGATAATGTAATAACCTGAAATAAAGCTCTACCTCCCTTCTCAAGTACACACAGGTGTAAAAACCACAACAGACAGCAAGAGAAAATGAAACAACACTGGTTTATGATCATGTTACCCACAACACAAACCAAAATCCTCTTTACAGAATGATAATAATAACTATTAATGAAGTGCTTCGTGATTCTTTTGGAGATTAATAACTTTAAAATAACAACAGTTCATTTTATAATTAACTGTTCTACAAATAAACATCTTTAAAGGACGCCTATAAAAGCTACACAATAATCTCATTAAGCACTTTCTTTTGACAACAATCAGTAAGTAATAACAGATGAATAGGAGCTTTTGTTCATATTACCTGTTGCACACACCAAAATCCTCAAAACCAAAAATATCAAGGACTCCTATTGAATTTCCTTGATGGTCTCGAAGTGTATCCTTCTTGGACAGCAAAGCATGGTTTACCTGGAGAACAATCCAGTCAAACAGAGCTCCATACAGGCACTTTGCCATTGCATCACGAGCAGCTACAGCCTGCAACATACAAAATCAGTGCAAAAAAGTCATATCAACTTCAAATGTAATGTTATGCTTTCAGCAGTGATTCTCTGAGGTCTGCGACGATGGGTGATTCATTACATGGAATACTATGTTGGAAAATGTGTAGTACACTAGCCACTAGACCCCCCCCCCCCCCCCCCCCGTGTACTAGCCTAGTTTTCAAAAAGTCCCAGGCCTGATCACAACAGATGTTACTAATATAAAAAAGGACAAAAAATAAATTATAGTAGCTAGTGACTTGGGGATGGGAACAATTCCAGCTCCTGAAATGTCATATATACCTCAGACAGTGAACAATGTCCAACATTGTTACCTTACAGAACTTAACAGCAAAACATGACCAAGAATACATACTAAGATATATAAAATAATGACTTTCTTCCTCTTTTATTTTAAATATCAGTTTCCTATTGACTTATAAAACCAGTTATCAGTTACAAATTGTATAATTTAAATTGTTAATTAGTAATCTGAAAATCTTCTGTAATTTGCTGAAACTTATTTCTGAATATTTCTGTTAAACAAGAAAACAAATACAGTTAGAATGAACAACGCCCAGACCGAATCTGGGTACCACCTAAAACACATGTCAACATTATCATTTAGGTTACTCACTTCAGGCAGCCTATAGTTGATCACAAGTGTCTCTCCAGAAGCTCTGGCCCTCTTTGCTGTAAGAGCCTGAAGAAGTGTCTCCTGTTTAACCCGTAGCAATTCTGAGATGAGGAGGACTACCTCAGGATTTCGTACACCCACTGCCTCATCATGATGGTACGCTGACTTGCGAGGCTGGAACTCCACATTTCCCAAAAGTAAAACAGCTGATAAAACAGCAAATAGTCGCCGTTGTTTCTCTGGGGTGAAGCCAACCATTTCCATTGACTGTTTTAGTCGAGAGAACTCATAGTTTTCATCAACATTTTCCAAGATGTAGCAACCACTCTACAAAACATAAATATATGTGATATATGTAAGAAAAAAGTGCCTTTACAATAACTTCAAATTACAGTTTTATAAACATATAACACTCAATTTTATATTTTCTTTCCATATTCATTAACCTTTTTACTAATATGGATTGCAAAAGTTTTAAAACATAGAAGAACAGTTGTGAACTGAACAGTTCTGGAAAGGTAAAGAATACTGTAATGTCAGTCTTACATGAAGATTTCTGTCTTCTGGGTTGTTGCGCTCTGTAGTCTGGTCGATGTTTACCAACGTTTCAGAGGTCATACTGCCTCCGTCATCAGGGCGATGAGTATGAAGATTTCTGTCTACTGGGTTGTTGCGCTGTGTAGTCTGGTCGATGCTAACCAACGTTTCAGAGGTCATACTGCCTCCGTCATCAGGGCGATGAATATATCGCAACAACCCAGAAGACAGAAATCTTCATACTCACCGCTGCGAAAACATCAAATCTTTCAAACTTACATGTTTGTCAATATACTAATTTCTTTTAGGCTGACAATAATAATCATATCACACAAACTTCAACTGTATAAGTACTGTATTGAAATGTGTGTAAATGAAATATACAGAGTTTCAAACACTTGGAATAGGATGATTATACACTAACACACAACCTACTGGCACATATATTTTCAACGGTGAAAGAGTTAAGTAATGAAAAAGAACTTCACAATATCAAGTGTCTGTTTCTGTGTGTGTGTCCCGTAAATTTAAAAAGGTGTAATATATTACACAGTATAATTTAAAAGAGACACAGAATGGAACCAAATACATTACTGTTGTTGTTGAACTTAATCATTAATTTTAAGTTAACTTTGAGGAAAGTACCAGGGGATATGGAAAGAAGTGACATGAGTTCTTAACCCTATAATGGATAGTTAGCTTCATGCACTAACTGAATTTGTCTCTAGGAAACAACCTACTAAGCCCACTTGATAGGAAAATGGCTAGATCACACAGTAACTGTGGATATGGCAGTTATAAGAAAAATAAGAACAGTGAAAATTAAATTTCAACCAAAGATGTTCAGTCCACAGATTGTCTCTTTACTAAGCAAGTTACCTTTACAGCTTTAAATCAGAACTGGCAACAGTCTAATAGATCTTGGCATATATGAGTTTATAACAAACCTTGCTAAGATAGTTGTAATTCTCAGTCTTCTGAAGATGAAGCAATTGCTTCTCTGATTCAGATGCTCCTGCCAGCAAGTAGTAAAAAACGTGATAGTTTCGTTCATTGCGTCCTTGTGAGCATATGCGTGACTTTTCTAGAAGATATTTTTGAACAACAGCTCTATAAACAAACATAAAAAAGTACATTAACATAAGTTTAATCACTACTTTAAATTATTTTTCCTTAAGTTTCCACAGAAGTGATAATGCAACGCATCTTCATTTTTTAGTTTCTGTGAGCTTTGTGCCTAAAAAATACAAAGAAATATTATTTGTAATGAAACTGAAGTGTCTAGTGAATTCTGTAATATTATACAGACTAATTGCTAATACCATGGCATCACATTTAATTAAAAATATCGCCCTTCTGGATTTGTTGCAGTTTCCAAAAACTAACAGTAAAATTTTTACAAAATATTTAATAAAAGAGAAAAAATATGAAATGCAATTGTAAGCAATTTTGTATTTACACGTGTAAACTCCTCTTTCAACTACCTTGCCTGCATATGTAGTTTTCTCTTAATTTTTCCAAATTATTCTTCCAATAAACATTTACTGGGTAACAACATTTTCTGAAAATTAGTTCAGCCACTAATACATCTTAGGACCTACCATGTCTGTAACAGTGCTCAAAGGCTTTCTGTTCTTGTTGTTGCTGTTTGATCTGTTCCTTGCCTTGCTTTTATTTAAGTCATTAATTTAAGAGTGATAAGCCTTAGTGTCATATTTCAGACTATCACCAAGTAGTATGAATCACTTTTGTAACTTTAAAAAATGTGAGGGTTTGGGGTTTGGTCAATGACATGCAATGAATACTGAAAAATTTTAACATACTGAAGAGAACAAAAATCCAGGATTCCATAAATTGAAATACTAACACCAGTTTTTTAACAAAGTAATTTAATTTTATGGTTTACTCAACAATTCTGTCAGTAGCTTTCAGCTTCTAACCCAAGATTCAGACAACAATATTCCTTATACACTGATCTCTTCAGATGAATCATGCCAGACACTGCTTTACACCATGGTTCAAACATATAAAGAAATTCTGAACTATGGTTATGCAGTTATTCATAGCTAAGACTTGTTCACTCAATGGAGACGAGACCAACTTCAGAAGCTGATGGTCACTTTGCTGGTAAAAATATTTCCTACCTAAAGTTTTATTACCATATTAACAAGAATTCATCACTAGACCCCATCCTGAGCAAGTTAAAATCAGTCCACACCATCACACCTTATTTCTTTAACATTCACTTCAAAATCATCCTAGCATTTATGACTAGGACTTCCAAGTAGTCTCTTTCCTTTATTTATTCAAAAATTTCAAAATCTCTGAGATGACAATGAGTTCATTTGCAAAGATTTGTGATTATAAATAGAATAAAAGTAATATACTTAATGAAAAACATTCTTAAACATCTTTGGAAATAGAAGACAAAGTACAGTTAGTGCTACGAATTTAAAAGATAAATTTAGCTTTGTCTGAAGCTCCTATATCTCACCAGAAAGACACATCTCACAGTTTGAGAAATAATGGTTCAAACAACTAATATATATAATCTACATGATTCACACTCAATCCACGGTTTAAAAAAACACCCTGAATCTAAAACAATTCTTTATGAGCTTACCCATGAACCATTCCATTCTCCTTATAATTGACCTGGATGAACTTTCCAAACCTGCTTGAATTGTTGTTATGTGATGTTTTTGCATTTCCAAAAGCCTGAAAAATATATAAATTAAAATTGAATTCAACCGTAACCTTCTTATAATATAGCCTATTTTACAAACACGACTCTGAGAACTACGATTATTATTACATTTGATACAGGGAAAAGGCTGCTACCTAAATACCTTGGGTTCAGCTAATTTGACTGTTAATACGTCTGATTGTGTAACAGTCAGCTGAGTAAAATTATCACTCAACTTAGACCCTAAGGCTAGCATTATACCATGACATTACAAAGCAGACCCATCAAATTCAAATACACTTACAGGCCAATTTTACAATCTCCCTTTGTGGCCCAAACTGCATTATCACAAAAAGGAAAAATGGGCTCCAACTATTCTTTCAATCATACACGACTTGAACAATATTTATTTAATTATAGGTTATTTAACAATGATTTTTCAGTATCACAGACTTTTTACTTCTGTTGTAATCAATCCTATGATTGGTTGGCAGCAGCTTGAGCTGCTGGTGCTTGGGAAATCCTGAGGATCTTTAATGCGGTGGATTCCCCTTGCCTTCTGCATCACAGACTATACAGCATCAAATGAGAGGATGAGAATGAATAATGAACTGGAAAGGATGTGAAAGACAGTGGTCATAGCCTAATTTCAGGTATTATCATGACATCTGCTTGACGGATTGAGGAAAACTGCAAAAAAACCTCAGTCAGGATAACTGGTCTCCAGGCCAAGATCTGAACCTGGAACCTCCCAAATACAAAGCAGGAGAGCACACCACAGCATTTGGTTTCAACAAGATGAGGCAGAGGTGGATATTAATAATGTGCTAAGTAATCAAGACATTTGCTCCTGAAGCCGAGCAACCAAAAAAGATGTAATTATCAGGTAAAATACTTACCTCAAGTACAGGTCCTGCACTTAGTATGGTTTGCTCCACTCCACTGCCGTAACTTCCTTTCTGGCTGAGAGCTGTCAGGTGGTGCAGAAGAAAATTGGTGCTCTCCGTCTTCCCACTACCACTCTCGCCACTAATTACTACGCACTGGTTTCGTCTTTCCTTTAGCATACAGTGATATGCTGCATCCGCAACAGCAAAGATGTGTGGGGGAAGTTCTGGCCCTAACCTTCGGTTCTGGTATAACTTTACATACTTGGGGTTGTAAATTGGGTGAAACTGAAACAAGAAATAAAACATTTTTCACTTGGGTTTTCCTGTGATTACAGCAAATTAACACAAGTACACAAATCAAAATTTAAATCCATGATGTGTTATTGTTATAACTTTCTTTGTTTCAAACACGGAACACTATGTGCTAAATGTTTCATGTATGCTGAATAATGTAACTGACACCGTCATAAATCTCAGCACCAAAATGCATGGCTGTATGTCAAATTGCCTATTGCATGGTGGTGGTACATAATATCATTATCAAAACTTGATATGCAAATAGAGTATCAGAGCACAGTCTAACTACACTAACTTCTGTGCACAGTATTGTCTGTCTAGCATTGATGTGTCGACAAATCTGTTTACTCTCATCAGTCTTCATCCACATACCTGACAGGCCTCAGACCTTGTCAGCCATCAAATACAGCTGGGAAGGTAGTGCAATTAGATTGTCTAAATCATGTCTAAACATTTTTTTAGATAAATAGCTTATGCAAGAATTAAATGAAACTTGGTAACATGTTTAATCTGATTATTTAATTCCAACCTCTACATACTATTCAATAAAATGGCTGCTGGACACAATTTGGAAACACTGAAATTACTGTATAACTCATCAAGATTTAACTTTTGCTTGAGACATTATAAACATCATAAGTACTGTACTCTCATACATGTACTTACCTTGAATGGGTTGACAGCAATAAGGATTGAGCCAACATATGTATAAATATGACCAGCAATAAAGCGTGCTCGAAGATTGTCCAACAGAACAAGCTCATTAAGATCTGGCAACTGACATAAATCAGGATACTCTCGGTCTTTGGGCTGATACAGGAATCTATAGAAGTAGTCTCTTATGAGTTGTGGATCCATTGTGAAACTATCAGTCCACAGAGAGTCAATCAGTTTCTCACGAAGATAAAACCTTCAATAAAAATAATAGGGTTAGGCAATATATTTAAAACACGGCAACCTGTTACCCATTTTACACACACACACACACACACACATATATATATATATATATATATATATACACACACACCCCCCCTAGATATGAGTTCTTCTGGATCTTAGTGCTGTGTAGACTCGTCAGCAGATGCCTGATGAAATCTACATGGTGCCAAGACCCAGAAGAATATCATCATGGTCATGTAAACCTCAATTCTCATAAATATTAATTAAGTTCAATATACTGCAACTTCATATGAAATAAAAATGACACTACTTAAAACAAAATAAGTTACCTATAATACTCTTGCTGTGAGTGTAATATCTTTGGCCACAGCAACATCAGAGCTACAGGAGACTCTGTGGGACCTAGACGACGTTCTTTACATTCTTGACCTACTGAATCCCCTATCACCTCAGCCAATTCATAACTTCCGCCTGGACTATCTGCCAATGACAGTCTTTCCACAATGCATGATACAATCTCTTCTGAAGTTGTCTGCTTACTGGCTTCAACTGAGAGTGCCTCATAATGCTGTGATAGAGCGCCCACAAACACCTGTACAATATATCGGTTATTTTCTGTGCCTCCAGACATTCTTAATGTACACTCAGACTACATACAATGATTCTCTTGGTTCTGGGCTTTTTCTATTCCATACTTTTTAGGTGAATATTGCACATTTTCTCCTTGCACTTTGTGCTGCATCAATAATTTACATCGGAATGTCTTCTGTTAACACACATAGTAGAAATGTTTTTGATCCTTTATGTGATATGCCAGCCTTTAGAGACCTTCAAATCCTCTGAGGGCATTATCCTGAAGACACATGCTGTTGAAACAAACATATTTTCAGCTATAGTCACAAATGCAATTTATAGCATAAATACACCCCAGTTTAGACCCTAGGTATTAACTGTCAATGCTAATGGTATAATTTTAATCAAGTTACTCAAGCAAATGTCAGATTGGGGTCACATGTTGATATGTCTGCCCAGCCATCAGCATAACAGGACTTCAACTTTAGGACAATCCCCATATATTTACCAAAGTTTGCAACAGCATTTCCAAAAACAAATACCAGGTAAGCTTACACCTACAACATGCAAACAGTAAACACCTTACACTGTTTAACATCTACGAAAGGAAACACTGCTTACATACAGATCTGCCATCATTAAATTCAGAACAAAACAGCAATAGTGATATCCATCTTTAGAAAGCAGTAAAATAATCCACTAGGTTACCATTCTAACATACCTAAAGACATAATATAGATTCCAATAAACACGCTTGTATCAACTATCTTTACTTTAAAAAGTAAAATGGAATCCAAAATAATCACACACACCAAATAACACCCACCATTTCTGAATGAACAGGTACCATAATGCACTGGAGACGCGCATGCGCAAAAATATATGGGACCTACAATAATAATAATTCTTTATTGTTATTAGTGTGCTGCATAAACAGGCAGAAGAAATAATAAGAATATTAATAACAACAACAGTACTTTTACAATATTTCACATACATATTCAGAAACTCATTTCACGGCTTATGTATCTTCCAATGAATCTGACAGGTTCCTAACAACATATTTTTCAAGGAGAAAGCTGTGATATTTATAGCCTTGGATATCATTCACACATCAATACAATGGGCCACAGTTTACCTTGACAGGAAACATGACCCACTACAGACCATCGACACCCAACACACCTTGAACTGCGTACATATGCTACTAGCATTTCTTATTTTCGGGTTTGCGGTTAGACAGTTTAGGGCACAACTTCAACCAAACATCTGGTATCAATAATTTTACTATTATGTGGGATTTGAAGTTTTCACGGTGGTTGAGTCTGAAGGTGGCTGTCCACTTATCGCCCTGATGATGGAGGCAGGAAGGACCTCTGAAACGCTGGTAAACTTCTACCAGACTACACGGCACAACAACCCTGAAGACAGCTTTCATCATACAATTAATATAATGGAGGTAGGAATAAACGGCATTGAGATACGTAGGAGCCGATAAATAACCTGAAAAAAATAATGAGTAAGTAATGGTGGACTGTGGGTGGTCCTCTAGTATCAGGGGGTTGCCTGCTGGACTTAAAACTCAACGCCGTAAATGAAAAGCATGTAGTATACATGGGAGAAATTAGAAATGAGTACAATATTTTGGCTGGATATCTTGAAGAGAGACCTCTTTAAAATAAAACAGTGCAGAGCTTGAACCAAGCCTGTCCAAAGACTGTTAGGTAGGAGCAGACTCTTTAAGAACAGCTGCCAGGATTAAGAAGGAGCTCTTTGTATATTTATAGGTCAATATAAAGTCTTTCTAGAAAAAGTTAATTAGAAGATGGTGGTTTGATAAAGATGAGACATCATGGGCATAAGTTCTAGTTCTAACATGTAGCTGTTACCATTATCTGCAACCTTCTCCCTCTGAAACAAAATTGCTGATTCAATCAAGACCACTCTGGAACCAATAAAATGACAAGCACCTGTTTAATCTACAGGACAAAAATCAATTTCCCCTTATATATTATAAACTTAAGACCTTCCTAAAAAGGAGCATGACAACTGAATCTTCATTTCCACTATGTGGGCCATTTGACAACTTTGCCTCTCCATATTCCCACAGATCATCTACTGCAAGCATAACTCTGGGGTATTTTACTTTCTTGTATTTCTGTTTTCAGTTGAAAATAAAATCATAGTAATCAAAATAATTTTGTTTGGGGTATACAGTTGCAATCTTCGCCAGTATCAACCACAAGATTTTGGTACGTTTGTTGAAGAAAATGAAGCGATACTACCGATAAAATAACTCCTACATCCTTCCCTACTTGCCATTCCATGATTTGTGTAGCAAATACACATAAGTTTGCACTGCAAAGGAACTCAAGTATCACCCCACTATCCATAATATATATTCTAATGAAATCAGTGATTAAAATGTTGGTTCTTCAAATTGGAGAATGAATTTATTCTACTTACTATTATACTTGATTATTTCCTTAATTAATATTCTATTTGTTCAAAATCAGTCTTGATTACAGATGCCAGACTTCACACTGGCTGTAACTGTTCTTCTTCATGCTGGAAAACACACACAATACATTGCTATTTTGCCACTCCACAAAACCGGTTGGTACTTCCATTTAAAATTCACAATAGTGAACAACTGGAGTGACCGGTGGCTGCAGATAATATTTGAAGACCCCACCCATGTTCATCAGAGTTCTAGTATTCTACACCACCGAAAGAAGCTACAAAATGTACACACAGACATAAGCTGAAATCACTTGAAGAAGGACGGACTGTCATGAAGCACGCCACCTTGGGGGGGACAGTAATCATGCAGCCAACCAATTTGTTGTAGTGAGCTCTTGTGGCAATGTGAAGTATCTTATTCCAAACCAAATCATTGGTATGTTTTCAAACTACTGATTATTCTGAGTAGTAATTATACCATTTCATTTATTTGTAATATTCCTTCTAAATCACCCATTAAAAAGAGGATTGTCATTATATTTAAATTCTCTGAGATCCAACTGCATTGCTGTACACTATATGCTTAATTTGGAAAGAATTAATCTTTAGCTACCTTGCTGAAATTCTTTTTATACATGAGATGAAAGTGAGTATTCTTAGGTTTTGTGTCACAGCAAGGGTAGGAAATCTTTTCAGATGTCACAAGAATTACATAAAATACTTTTGTTGACTGGGATAATAAATGCACTTGGTTAAACTGACAATAAACTTTGATATTCCAAACAGTATTTCTGCTCATTGCTGAAATTCTAGTGGATTGGGCAGTCTTCATAACAACGAAGAACTTGAGGATGTTATGTGTATTCCAGTATAAAATAGACTATCCATTCAATGAGCATAATATAAGTTGTAGGATATTCAACCTGTTGTGTACTGGGCCACACGATGTCAATCTTCCGCTGCACCTTTTAACATGGGGAGGAGGAAGAAGAAGAAACCCTTCAAGTATCTCCAGTCATTTTATTATATAAAATTGTGAGGTACCATACTGAGAAATGTTGAAACAAATTGTCTTTGAGAGCATTCTCAAAGTGGTAACTAACAATTCATTTTGAAATAAATACCTGAATGCCAATCAAATTTCAAATAAACATTTTATAAAACAAGAATTAATACCTCACAGAGCATGCTTCTACTTAAACCAATTTTATAATATAATTCAATCAGCACATCTTGATTTCTTCTCTCTCATTGCACTTGGTAAAAAAAGGACAATAATTACTTGCACCTAGCATGAAAAGAAAATTCTTAACAGTTTGCATCATATTCTTCCACTTAATATTATTAATATAGAAAACATTCTTAATTCCATTTTGTATGTCACTTACCAACAATTTTAAAGTGTTTAACAACAATTATCCTTTCATATTTAAGTGAAACATGATGTTCAGTTACCCTGATATAAAGCTTCAGGTGTCAAAATACATTGCACCCATCAGCTAACATAATTAAAGCATTAAGTGTACAGAGTGGTTCAGCTGCCATGAACAGACCAAAAATGATGCATGATTAACATACATTTTACTAAAATGTAAATATTAGGCAGAACTTTCCAAGTTTGTATGCTTATGCATTCCCAGTATCTATGTTTTTAATTAAAATATGTGAACCACTACATGTCAACAGAAACAACTTTCATTATCTTGCTGTACCCAGCTGTCAAATAAAATATGTAGAAACAAATGGCTCATTTTGATAAGTCACTATGCTGAACAGATATGTTTACAATGCAATTCCATATCACAGATTATCTTTAGACAGAATGAATATGGGTATCCATGATTTCAATGAAAAAGAAAATACTAGAACCTAAAAGAAAGATATGATAGTTACATTAAAGGTAAGATATGAAGACACCTATTCAGCATTTATGCACCAACAAATCCAAAACATTTAATTAAGAAGTATGTCACAATGGTGCATGGGGTGGAGAAGTAAGATCCACATATTACAAATGGATAGAAAGGGTTAGTGTCATGCTCTGAAATTTGTTGTATTACATTTATTTTTGTCATACCCCTTGCTAAGGTGTCTGTGATTATATCCTTCAAAATATGCGGTATCAAGAGCTGATAAGCAAAATGACATACTGTGACTTTGCCAAATTCTACTGCACATACCAGACAAACAAAATCAAATTTGTTTTCCTTATTAATCATGAATGGCAGGTACACTGGTGACATACTGTCAAAGTACATGTAATTTGTATTCTTGTTCTACTATTATCATTGACATGTGTTTACAAGAAAAGTTAATATGGTACAGCATAAACAAATACACCTATCCAACTAGATGCTTGCAGTTAATTAAGGTCTTATGAACACACCTTAATGAAATGATAAAACAAAAATTATTTTATGACAATTAAAAAATAAAATTACAAACATTATTTTCTGATAATAAAGCAAAGTCATGTGCCATAACAAATGACCAGGTAATCTGAAATAAACCACTCTGCACACCTACTTGATACACAGTGCCTGAAAGAAAATATCGCTATGTATTAAAATGTACCAAGTTAATTTCTGTTTCATACGTCTTGCAGTTTTCCTTACAGTAACAGTTCTGTCCCATTTTATCACACATTTTTAATGTGATTCATTGTATCTGATGCTGTGCTCCTGAATTTATGATCTGAAAGATAGTTATATAAAAATTTTGGCAGAAGATTTGGTTTGTTCACCATTCAGCCATCTGACGCAGCTTATATAACTTGAGAGTATTTCATCGACAGACAGAATAAAATATGAGACAATTCAGAACATGAGTTAAGCCATTCACTATTTTTTAAAGGTCTTCATTTCTACTTGTACAAAATCCAAAACTCACACAGCCACCATATCCAGAAAGTTGGCAAATACTGAAAGCCAGGAAATAAATTCAAAAGGTGAAAGTTACAAACAAAAATTGCAGACAATGTTGGTCATCCAGTTCTGAGTGTTTTGTAATGCTGCCACACAACTAAACCAGGGGCTCCCAATGTTTTAAAACCTGCAGCCACATTTCACTCTTTCTTATGGATTTGCAGACTCTTGGAATTTTAAGTTTAATAAAATGCTACAAACTTAATATTGCATCCATTTTACACAATACTCATTAAAGTTCTTAAACAAATTTGTTTATACATTTTCTTTATTATTTATTCATTCATAACTAAATACTTAACTGAGGTGTAATTTTCATTATACAGAAGGATACAATATTACAAAAATTAATATGGGCAGCAAAAAACACATCAGAGGGCCACACGTAGCCTGCAAGATGAGAATCCCTGCTGTAAACCATCCAGAATATGAACAAAAACACTACTGATTTTGTTCTTGTTTCATTAAGAAACACTTACTTCAACACAACTGGAGGCTGTATCACATTTCACATGGACAATATCATGAAAAGTTGGGCATAATGGAGCTCTGTTATAAAGAAAACAGCAAGCCAATTATGAAACTTTTAAATAAAGCTTTAAAATATAAATGTTATTTTCAGACACCCTGCACTTCCAGCTCTTAGCATACTACCCCCACTAAACATACTAGCCTTGCATATCTGGGCCAGATTACAAAACTGCATAAACCAAACACCTGCTACCAACAGTTCCAAATTTTTACTGCATATTGGCATGTGCCATACACAGTACACTTTAAACAACAAAGCTTTAAACAAAGAAAGATATTATATTATACAATGGTTATTACAGTTTTGTACAGAAGACCGCAGTGCAGGCAGTGTAACACAATAGGACACAAGTCATATTACCCAAAATTTTGCAACAGCCAGTCTGTGTATGACTTAAATTTCTCTATCAATTTAAACTATGTCTATTCTACACCATATAAATAAAGACACTTATAGAAAAATGACAGACACAAACATTTCTTCAATTTTTCATTCAAGCCATTAATATGACAACAAAATATAATTTTAATTAAACCTAAATTACATTAAGGCAACTTAAATGAATGTATCCTGTATGTTTTTGCATATCAATAAACAAAAGGATGTATACTAAGTCATGTAGAACCCTGAGTTTAAAACATTTGCTGATTTTCTTAGAGAGTCATGAGTTCTTTCTATGAGATTCACTGTCACACTGAACATACAAAAAAGAAAACAATATTAAATGCAAGTCCGACTCTTCTTCCTCATTCAATTTATATGTAATAATTTATCCATCTTAATTTTTGTTTTTGGGACAAAGTGTGCTGCACCATTACATTAGGACAATGAAAGCAAATCAAAATCTAGGTGCTGTATGGAACAACACAACTGTGTGCTAGGTATAATCTCGCTTCTCACACTGTTACTTCTAATAGCAACAAATACACTCTCAAAATTATCTTGAAACAAACAGGAACACACAAGAAAGACAGAACCCTCCAAAACAATATTCTTACCACTGAAAAATATGAAAGGTACCTTCTAAAACTTCAAAGCCTGTATTTTACACAGCAAATATGGTTCATACAATATTTATTCTGATTTTACAGCATTTGAACTTGAAATACAAAAGAGGTAATTACCGGTGTTGTGTTGTCTTGCTACCATTATTGTTGGCTGTATTATTAACTGTTTATGCACTGCTGCTACATACCAGAAAAATAAATCCCTGAATTGAAAACCCTTGTGCCTGTTACATAAGTGTGAACTGTTGCATTGTATGTAACGTGTCTATTGCCTGAGAAAATGGTGATTAACTGTGTAAAATGTACAATGATATCTACTTCAATAAATCAGTCATGTGAAAAAATACAGATCATTATCAGACCAAAGGTAGGCAAAAGGAAGTGGAATTTCATGTGCAGATCTGAGATTCTCAATGTATCAATTCAAGAGCAAGAGTTCATAGCAGATTCTATTCTTGCAATACTAAGTGAATAATGCTTTCTGAGAAATATTTAATTAAAATACATGCAAAATGTACACTGTACACCTGATTTCCAAGTGGCACATTATTCTGCAAAACTGACTATATAGTCCACTGGCAAAAGTCTCTACAGGGTCGAACTTAGTAAATTATACAGAATATTTCATTGAAAAGAATATCAACACTGTATGGAAGGAACAGAGTAGAAACAAGGTCTGAATTTTAGCAACCATATTTTTTAACAGATGAACTTTTAAATATCGACACTTGTATCAAATACATTCATGAACACTTGAATTCCACAAGAGGGACATACCCAAGCTGTAGGCTTGCCATCAGAAACAGACTTTTGAAAAGGGGCCACTTATATCTTGGGAGAAGTAAGACCACAACAAAACATAAAATCTAGGTGAAGAAAGAAATACTACATTAAATTGAAAGCCTATTACAAAAGTAATGAATAATAATGATAACACACAACATTGTGTGCCAAGACTGAACACTGTCATGTTTAATTGATCACATTAAATATTACATTTTAATTTTCCTCCAGTATTTATAATTTGTATTCAGATGCTGCTGTAGCAAATCTTAGTTTCAGTCAATAAGGTAGTATATGCAGTAACAAGGAATAACCCCCCCCAAAAAAGAAAAAATGAAACAGTACATTAGATAAAAATGGAAAGTTAGCCTGAACAAAAGAGGCATGTCTTACGACATGGACGGAATACTTTACGGATTTATGGAACACACTTGTTGATAGGGACAGAACTGCAAAGAACAGGATTTCAGGAAATGGCAAGACATCAGACAAGGTAGGGTTGAATATGTTACATTTAGATATAGTAATGACACAAATGAAAAATAATAAATCATCAGCAAATGGTCATTTGAGAGCATAAAATTAAATAAACTGACTACAGTAAGCATATGACAGGCTTTTATCAATAGATACCCAACTTTTCCTACTGATTTTTTTAAAATAAGAAAGAAAAAAAAACAATAAGAACAAATTCATCCTACTGAAAGTTGGGCAAGTGAGGGGAATTTCACATTCTGCAGTGACTAATATTTTAGTATGAGTTTTTCAGCATAACACAAGATGCTTGTCAACTCCATATGTCAAATTTCACTAATGTATTTGATGCCACTGGATATTTAAAATTCTGTATTTTATATAATTGCATTAACAGTAAGTACTTTCTTATAATACTGCAAAAAAAGTTTCTATTTATTATAATATGTAACAAAACAATTTTAAAAGCTCAATATTTACAGAATTCCCATGAAAGCCCAAACTGTCCACTGTGAATGATAAGTATTTCGGAGGCTGTCCTTTTGTAGAAAATAAATCAGAATATGTAATGCATGAAGCAACAATTTCAAATAGATTCTCTTAATGGTGTGATACAACAGTCATATCACCATATGCAGCATCTTACATATGTGCAACAAAGAATACCAAGCTCTAATAAATGAAGATAAAATTAAATAAACAGGTGTCAACAAGAAACCTCAGATCTACACATGTAATGAGGACCAAGTACAGGAGATAAGCTCTGTGTGTTCAAATGCAATCCATCTTATCCCCAAACCATTAGCACTGGATATTTAATAATACAAGGATAAACACGAAAGTAGCAGCAATCAAGATGATCTGGTGATAACATGGGTAAGCTACACGGCCAGTTTACTGGCACATCATGTGGTACTGCCCGCCAGTTATACAGTTTTGTAGAATAGTATTTCTTGTACAATTACTTAAAATATGACTAAATTGCCATGAAGTCTCTTAGATTAGAAATTTTATTACTGAAAATCAGCATTATAATTGTTTTAACTCTTCCAATTACAACCAAGGAACTGTTTTGTACTTTGGAATGTTAAAAAGTGCCTTTGGCATGTAAGCTCCAAAACAGCAAATACGTCATATTGCAAACTCTAAATCAACTGTAAAAGTCATTCATAAAGCAAAATTCCAGACAAAAATATTAATTTTACATTTTTAGTGTTGCTCAAATCATAACACACATACATGTAAATGCTGTTTCCAAGATGCTTTATGTGGTTATTTGGGGAATTATACAAACTGCATTCAATAAACAGGCTATCAGAAGGTACTAACTAAAAAAAGAAGTATTCTCAAGTTTAAGAGGGCATGTACTGAATGCAAATTACCTCAAAACAGATGGTGATTCCAGTTTATAAACACTCATTAAAAAAAATTCTGGACACAATATACAGCATTAATCCTGAATACCATTCTCTTGGGCTGAAGTGAACACACAGTGCTCTCTACCTGCTCATAGCAAAGTCTCTTTCTGTCGGCAGTTACGAGAGCAGAGGAATGTGGCGAGGTAACAAATGGCCTATTTTCTACATAGAGTACAGCACATCATATTTCTGCTACAATCATACACACTTACTGATAACACTTGCTTCTTCATCTTAGTTCTGTAGGAAAAATACCATTATTTATCAATGACGTTGAGAAAAGTATCATCTACTTTTACCCTTACTCCAACCATGATTCGTTAGCAAATTATCAATGAATCAAATCTGATGTCACCTTACTTTTTAATTCTCCTTTATAACTGGTTTGTAACAAGAGTCTGACAACTCTTTCCTTTATTTTATCTTTGACTGGAGAAAAACTGTTATGCAGCATACGTTCTTCATCATCACCTCCTCTTTGAAACTCACACATTCACACAAGAATATACAGGCACACACCTTTACCATTTTCACTACAATGTTGTCCATGAAGGGGAAAGAGAAACACTGCAATATCTCCTTTTTCCCATACTTACTCCCCAGTGAAGTTCATAAACTGTATGGTAGAAGACTGCAGCGACTTTGAATTCCCTCTTCAAAATGCCAGTTATTTTCAAACTAATTTAATTTAATAAGTGATTTATTTCCTTCTCCTTCACCCACCTATCACAATATTTTCAGTTTCTTAAATATATATTTATTTTACTGATGGCCCCTACCCTGACACTGCAAGAACACAATGTCTCACATACCCTGTGGCATATCCTGGATGTTGGAATACAAAAGAAGATCATTTACTTGGTCAATATAATTTCAAACACTTGCCAAGACTTAGAATTTGTGAGTAAGAATAAGTATTCTGCAGGTTCATATCATTCCAGGCCATTTCACCAAAGCTGTCAATAGATAACTTCATAAACAGTTGCCTTCTTATCTCCAGAGCCTGTCACAATGTACTTGTCGTCTGCTGAGATGTCACAGCTCAACACAGATGAAGACTCCTTTGACTAGGAGAAAAGCAAAAAATAAATTACATTAACATCACAATCATTTCTGAAATCAGTTGAACAGTTTTCTGGCAGCAATACATGAATCATGTTTAAACTGGTGAAACTTTCCTTAATATCTTCATTTACTCACACAGTTTCTCCATGCAGTATGATTTTATTCTCTCCCCTCAACAATTGTTGCCTTTTTTTCAATATAATTAGCTTTTACTGATCAGAGACATGCAAATTGGACATATGGGCATCCCATTAAGACTGGGACCATAGGAAAACTCAAGTTATTTGTCAAAATATAGGAAACTGTAAAGAGAGAAATTATGTTGCTGATCACGTGTTTACAATTTCAAGCATTGAATTTTTTACCTACGGCAAGCTGTCACAGCACAGCAATTTTTACTACTGATAATGTAAGGAAATAGTAAGAATTGTGGTGATGTTGCCATGATAAGTTTAACATGGTCAGAATCTTTGTTACTGGAAATTATGTCCACAACTGTATCACAAAATAAAATTTTTCAATAGTTCTTACCAAACTTACCTTACAGATTGAAAAATAATTCTCTCATAACTTACTTCTCTTGCAGTTTCAGAGCATTATAGTTGTCTCTTACTAAGAACATAAAGAATGATGTGTGGACTATGCACAGTATATTTATCTACCTGGAAAATGGAGGCTCCATAGGGTGTTCGCCAAGCATTGAGCAGATTATCCTTGCCAGTGGAAACAAACCACTTGCCACAGGCTGCAAAACGTAGCGAGAGGACACATGACTCATGGAGATGCAGCTGGTACTTATCAGGCTTGGCTGCGTGTAGGACTTCAACATTAGAGTTCTCCATGCCTACTGCCAGCCACTCGCCAGTTGGACAGTAGCCAAGTGAAAAGATCTGGGATGAAAAGTCGTGTTGTTGCAGCTGTCGTCCCTCTCTCAGATCCCATGACCGCACAGTGTTGTCTAGCCCACCAGTCCACAGTTTTGTACCATCTGCAGAGATGTCAATACATGATGCACCATCTGTATGCCCTTGGAATTGACGGACTAGAGTCTGGTTGTGCAAGTCCCACACTGCAATGTTGCCATCTGAGCAGCAGCTGAAGCAAACCTACAAAATGGAAAGCCATTCTTATAAGAAACATAAACTCACATTTTGAATGTTCTTCATATTTAATGAGTCAGAATAGCTCAGTCAGTAAAATTAGAGAAGTATGTTGGACAACCAGGGTGTAATTCCTAGGGACATGACTTTATTTTCTTCTAGCCCACTACCTAATGGGTACTAAGCCAATCTTCATTCATTTCCCAATTAATTTTAGAAACATCAAAAAATCATATAATTTTGTAGAGCAAAGAGGTCTGTTTATGAAAAGTCAGAAAATTTAATTTTTATTAATTACAGAAAGCAGTCTGAACTGCACATGCTTCTAAAACAATTTCAGCTATTTTTCAACCCTTTCTAAGCTAACGTTTACCTTGGAGTCTGGGCTAATGGCAAGAGCATAGCAGGCAGGAGCACTGGAAGTAAGCTCAGCTTTGATGCGAGGTGTGGGTGATGCCAGGTCCCATATACTTAGATTGCTTGCCTCACCACCTACGATTAATGTTCGTCCATCTGGCAGCAGCTTCACGGAGCGGATGTAATTATCCCGTTGCTGCAATATACAGACATAATTGTTTTACATATTACATAAATGGGAAAATTGTTTAAAAATATTACAAAACACTTTTTTTAGTTTAACTCTTTATCTTTTCTTTAATACCACCACAAATATTGCAATATTTATTCATATTATGTATAACCTATTCCACTTCAGTCTTTTCAAAATTTCATCGCTCTGGAGTGAACCAAATGTTCAAAATACACTTTTTCTGCAATGCATATTTTACTTTTTGCAAGTGATATACTAAGATCACTTCTCTTTGTGTTTCTGTTCTCATAAGATCACTCAGAAGTGTTTCATGTTCTCATATACAGTAATAACTAGAGACAGTGAAATATGCACTTAATAGGATTTGAGGTTTCCATGGCAGTCAATATAAAGATGGTTGTCTTCTCTGTTGTAGCACCATGTATTCTGGTAGAAGTATGCACTTCAACAATGGATTTCTTTATATGACAGTCACGTAAAAATAAATCCTACACGTCTTGTAAGAGGTTTTTCTGGTATCCTGGTGTTCAAATTCCAGCTTCATCAATGAATTCTGAATTGGTGAAAAAAGTGCATTCAACTGTATCTCTCTTAGACAAAAAGTTCAAACGAGAGAATGCTGTGTATAGAAATTATCACATTTAAGGTCATAAATATACATGTAAAATCATTACCAGACAATCAAGCTGGGACACAGGGCTTTTGGACCCTGGCTGGCTGATGTCCCAGACCTTGACACAGCCCTTGCCACCAGTGTACACATATTTGGTTGGGTTGCTTATGGTGACAGCACATACCACCTCGCCATGACTCAGAGTGTTGATCTGCCGAGCGTGTCGGGGGATCCCTGGACCAATCAGGGCATCTGTTGGAAATGGTACTGGCTGCAGTTGTCCCTCTCCATTCATGTGAAATGAATAGGCACTGCAACAACCATCAACTCAACCATCTCACTTCTGACAGACAGAGGAATACATTACCACTGTCTTGCAGGAGTAGGAAAGGTAAAATGACTTCTGTGCACAAGCACCATACCAGGAAAGTACAGAGTATCAAGGTGAAGCTTTATAATGCAGACTGAGTAGACCACAGAGATTGTCTGGATGAGAGGCAGTAGAATAGTTTTTAGGGTGACCTACAGAAATCAGCACCATATTATATGCTAGAGGAGAAAGGGACAGTATACTATCAGCCATGACAATGTTGAGTCAACACTGATTTAGCTGATTGCCTGAGAAAATTTATACCATTCATGTGTCATGAATTTTTTAAGTCTTACATCCAATATATCTGCTTAGGTACTGAAGAGAAATATTCCCAGTACCTCTGCTAATAAATAAATGACTGAATCCTAGCATTCACATTATTCATTAGGCTCCAATGTATACATATAAAAGGAGTATATTTGTTAAGTTCTGATGTTTTTCAACTTTGCTTTGTTAACAATAAATGTACTGAGGTTCATGATCTCTTCATACAATATAAGTGTACTATACCCGATACCAAACTGTGCATTCTTCCCAAATATTGTTAGGATATTCAACACTAATTGACAGTTATAATAAACTTTATAATTTATCAAAAGAAAACAATAAACTTACGGTTTTCCACCAGGAATTCCCCCAAGACCATTGGAGCCGAGGCCAGGTGTGCGGACATGTGGGTGAGGGTCGTAACCAAGCTGTGAACAATACATTTGTATTGAGGAGGTCTCACAGAAGCAGGAGTACACAACAGCTTTAACAGAGCCTTTCTACATGGAAATTATCTGGATGTAAAGTTTGAAATAATGGGTTATAAGCACTATGTTCATGTGACAGCAGAACTATTAATTTTTGTATCATAGAAATTACATATTAAAAATAGCAAGTAAGATTTATTTTATAAAACTGTCAATATTTCACGTTATATAGCACTGAAGTAACAAGTCATAGAATCTTGCATCATGTCACATTCATACACATCTGATTTTACCATCACTAGGGATAGCCCACAGTCTGTTTTAGAATTTTGCAGTTGGTCTTCTCAGAAATAACTTCCAAGTGAAAAAAATGTAAACATAATAAAGATACTATGTGCTGGAAAATTCCTGATTTTTTTAATATTTTTTTACTCTGGCAAACATTTTATGGTAAATATTCTCTCAAACCTTTAACACCTTGTATTAGTATTTAAAAAGTTACCTGCTCTGCCTGGAGTGACCATTTCACATCTGCACTATGAGGGTGTTATAGGAATGACAACTTTTTAAATATGAAATGTTTTTTCGGCTTAGGCTCTCTGGAGCTGTTTTTTTCAATCTTATGATTAAATAGAAATTATACATATGACCATCAGATGCACAGGGTAGTTACTTGAATTTTCACAGAATAAGACTTGCCTGTCACCTGTTGGTGACAACTGTAAACAAAGCTTAGGCTACTTTAATTGGTCATAAGCCTGCACTGATGTTGCCCAGTATGGCCTCCATCTCAAGTTATAAGTCTACCTCTTCTTCTTCTAGCATTATTACCATTTTATAAATGTCAACAGTAATAGTATTAAATGGTTAAATCTTGTTTATAAATTCCAGTACAAAATTCTTTCATGTGTGTAACACTTGTTCCATGCAGACAAAAACAGCAACATACACATATATACAAACTTTTCAATCTTTTATTAAATGCATTCTACCTTTGAAGTAATTCATCCTACTGAACAAATTTCAACATAACTCCAATACCTACATCCTAATTAGAAGTAATTAAAACTGTAATTGTAACTTTGGCATAATATGAAGTTGTGGCAGAGCTTTTAAACTTAATACTTTTAGATAATCTTAAATTTTAAATCAAAGACATTATAAAATAATTATCTCTGTATAAAAAATATGATACAAAAAGAAAATATACAGAAAATGGTTTAAGGATGTAAATGAAAATGCTTATTGAGAAGGCAAAATTAATTAAAATGGAAACATCATACATGAAATTAGTTCAGAGTAGTTCAAAATAATATCAAAGGTTAAAACTTAAATTTTAAACAATGAAGCAGAAATAAAATGTATGAGACTGATTTTAAATTAATACTGGTACATGCAGTAGAGATGTGAACTCTTAATAAACAAAAACAGGTTCACTCCAAGCAAATAAAATTAAGTTTTAAATAAAACTAAGAAAACTAGCAAAAAAATAAGAAGATGGCTGATGGATGGAAGCGTAATTACTAATCAAACTGATGATGGAAGCAGCAAGGACCTCTGAAACGTTGGTATACTTCTACCAGACTACACAAATCTAAAACCCACAAGACGGCCATCTTCGGACTCACCACCATTAAAATCTCAAATCCTATATAGCAGAGAAATAGTTTGGAATGGGGAAGTACAAAATAGAGTAAAACTTGTCAACTGAAAAAGGACTTGGAAGCAAACAAACTTTAGTGACATGGCAATATGAAGTAAATGAAAGGAAACAGACTGTCCCAAAGTGGAAGTGAAACTGAAAGTAACAAGAAGTGGGGGAAAACTGAGACCACATACAACAGACTGAGTGAGGGATAGACAAACAGACAGGCACAGAAATGAGGGACTTGAAACTGTCAGGAGAAAGGCAAGAATTAAAAATCATGCTTAACCCTTTTAAGGGCAAATGAAATAAGTATAAAGCAAAACTAAATTGAACCAAGAAAAAAATCTATGTATCTACAATACTCATTAAAGTTAGATAAGTAAGCATGTTCAGCCAACATTCTTTGTACCTTCCCAAATCAGTTAAGATGCTCTTCAATTTATGATACATATTGTTCAAAATACATTGCATACTCATATGCATAAACATATATTTATAATTCCAATTGCACTGTCAGGTTCCACGTTTATCAAAGCCAAGGTATACTGTATGCATATGAGTAAACATGAGTTATGTGCATTTGTGTATACAACATAAAGCACAAAATAAGATTAACACAGAACAATGAACAAATTAAGAAAAGAAGAGAAAGTCTGTGAAGATGTCTAACATGCAAAGTTTCTTCATTTATATATTTAGACCCTTATTCTAGAATGAAATCAGTGACAACAACGGTTTTATTTTAATAGCACTATACAAAGACGCCTACCACGTGTGATTTATATTTTTAGACCCTCACTCTGGAATTTCACTCATTCTATGATTATTTTAGAAGCCAGGATAGGTCATTAAGATTAGTGTCAAGGCTATGAGCTGTATGGCCAGGGTTTGATTCCTAGCAAGCTCTCAAACCCACCCAACCTTCCACCCAATGAGAACCTGGTTTCCTTCCTCAGGGGGTAAAAAAGCCAGGGTGTGATGCTAACCACTCACCTCTATTCCCCATAATTCTAAATAATGCAATACTTACATAAGCATCAGGAATAAACTTTACATTTACTGTGATCTTTTCAGACTATTCCAAATTCTGACAAAACACATATCCCATAAACTACTTTCTATATGCTGAGCTAATTATCAGAAAATGACTGTTAAAGCTTGAAGCAGATTTAGAGGATACTGATTTTCTGGAATATTCTATTGCAAACACTATGAAATTCTGTAAAATGTTTTTTTTTTATTCTGGTCATCATCTAAATGAGAACAGAAATAAATATACAATGTTTTTAAAGCTAGCTGTTATTGCACCTTTCAGTAAAAAGCAAAGAACGGAAAACCTACATGTTGGGTTGCCTGGCTAGTTCAATCAGGAGGGCCAACAGCTAGAGGTTCTGGCCTTTACTTCTTACCTGAAGATGGAAGAAGATCCAACTTCTGAAAAGTATTTTATTTTTAATTTTGATGATGGGCAAAGCCCAGAAAAACTTTTTATAAAAGGTGGCTGTCTTCTGGGTTGTAGCACTATGAAGTACAATTTACCAACATTTCAGAGGTCCTTGCTACTGAAATCATCAGGGCAATCACCACACTGATAATGGAGGCAGCAAACACCTATGAAACATCAGTAAATTTCTACCAGACTACAGGGCACTACAACCTAGAAGACAGCCACCTTCATACTTATGAATATACAAACTTCAATCCTACTAATCATTTTAACAGATTATAATGCACCACTGTCAGAAACCAACAGACTTCAACTATAAAATTCAACTAATTTATAACACATGGCCAGGAGTCAAAGCTATATTCAACATAAAGTTGAAGTCTCCATGTTTGAACATACCCGCTATACAATTTGTTGTTTATGAAAGTCAAATGTTCCAGAATTCCATTAAATCATAATAACCACTTGCAACAAGTGAAACACTTTGAATCCTAAGCATTCTTCCAAAATGGGGCACTATATACTCAGTAGCTGTTATTTTACCAAATTGCAGTTAAACATTTTTGGTTAACATTGTTTCAAACAAGTATTAGTTGGTTCACAAGATCAGGGAGATACTTCAAAATAAATTTCTTTCAGCAACAAAGAAATTTTAAATTTGGTACTTTAGAGAGTAGGCAGTTCACCCCTCAAAAAAAGTTCCATTCCATTTACATCTCTTTTTATGTTCTACGTCCAACTTGCCAAATGTCTCACGAAGATAATGTATGTTAGGAAAATATGAACTGTGAAGTGTGGAAAAAAAGATTTATAGTGACTTATGAAGGTATTATGCCAGTATTTGTCAGGAGGGATGGAGGAACTATGAAATAACTGGAAGGAAGGCCAGCTTCTGAACTCAATTTAGAGAACTATCTGCCACATGCAGTATACAACAATGACATAAATATATATTAAAATTTCTTACAAACTGATTAATTAAATTTAGAAAGGGAATCACTATGTAAACAAGCACACATCCCACAGGTAAACCTCAATCCACAGCACAAAACATTTCTGATTTTATTACTGGATGATGTCAAAGTTACTACCAAATTTTAGGCTGGGGATAAAGGACATGCTGCCTGGCCTGAGGTATTACATGACAGACTTAGAACAAATTTTCAACAAATATCTTCATGCAGTCTTTAAAATAACACACTAAGCCAGAGATCCAATACATATGCATAATTCAAGTCATACATGAAAAAAGTGACTGACATTAAGAATGATTCTTTAGTACAAACTGACTTTATGAAGTCCAAAAACTTTCAGACCTTTCAGTTTAAGAAAACTGTCTTGCATGCCCCATCTCTTATCTATTACACTACAAAGAGCATTAGACATGTTTTCAAAGGATCAGCTAGCACAGAATGTAATAAAAAATACAAGCAAAATAATTATATACTATATTTACTTAAATCCAAGTAACCATCATATGCATTTTATCTGATTCCAGTTTTCAAAGCTGAGAAATTATGAATATTTATTTGGAATTGTATGTCTATCATGTAAATTCACCCACATTACAAAGAATACCCTGAAATCTCATATGTATATCCTGGAACCTTTATATAAAATCTGTGCCCAGTTAATTTTGTTATATGGATGTTTTAATGTCCTCTATAGAACATGATTGTTCAAGCTAAAACTAGGCAATGTAGCATACTGTGATCTGTACAGGAAAACCAATTTTCAAGGGAACTGTAAAAACCAAATGCAGTACTAAAAACAACGCCAAATTCTGAAGTTGCAATAGTGAAATTATGGGACAGACACACCCATGAATTATACAATGATTCTGAATTATAAATAAGAGCTATTATTTACAATGAACAACACTGAAAACAAATTGCTCTTTCATCTTTGCACTATATTAATATGACTTTCTTTTACTGTTTTACATTTGTCACAAATATCAAACCTCAAACATACTAGCATTTACTCTAAGGAAATGAACATGCAAGTAACTATACAGTGAAAAACAACAGAAAATACACACCTAACAAGACAAATATTTTATCAAGTAGTAATAGCAAATAGGCACAATACTACATGAAGTAAAATTTCTTCTGCATGAAGGATCAGCACAAAGACAAAACTGATGTTTAACTTTACAGGATCACTTTTAACCACTGAATCTTACTCACCTACTTCATGGATGACTGGCATGCTTTTAGAAACCCAAAAGTATATTGACTGGATTCAAGTAAACAAGTTTACAATCCACAGAACATTAAGTGGAAAGGCCCGATTATAAAGTTCTGATTCCAAAAATAGAGGGAAACTATTCTCTCTGAAATCCTACCATAGGTGGTCTGGAGTAAGGGGAGGGTGCCACACTGTTGTAAGGGCTAGTGTCACTGCTTCGGGAGCCCCCAACTCCCCCAGCCACCAGGGAGAAGGGGGGGTATGCCCCCGGGGGGAGCACTACTCCGGGCACGGCAGATTTCACTCCACTGGAGCCAGGCAGCGTGGGCGCTCCGGAACAGGTTGGGGTCGTGACCTTGGACACTGGCGTGGAGGGCTTGTCGGCCTATGACAGGTCCAACAACAGAACAACCCTACTTCAATGCCTCACATTCCCATTCCTGGTATTTTGAAATTTCAGTAACTTTCTAAACAGGAATCAAGATTAATCCTTAAAACAATAAGTTCATAGCTTAGCGACTGAGTAAATTTCAAGTACACTAGATTTTGTTGAACTGGATATACAATGCATTCACTGGTTAAGTTAAATGAAACTTTCACTTCCTGGCTCCTCGCAGAAGCTACTATAACATAAGTAAGTCAATTTTATTGATTTATAGAGTGAGCCAGGAAGTGACAGTTGCATTGACCTTCATCAGTAAATGAAGCCACATTAAGGTGTAGCCATGAAGTAACATCTCAAGATTTGCTACTGTTAGTATTATTTACTGCAGTATAAGAAACAGTATATTAAGTTTCCATGATTAACTTCCTTATATTGGTTCACCTATCTGCAATCTTATCAACATCGTCCTATAAGCCTTTTTCTCCGAGCCATTTTAAACCCTCAGTGACATGCTACATCTGTTACAAAGAACATGTTTGGAGAACACATCCTAAAGATACTGAATCATGTCCTAATACTCAAAATGTATAAACTGAGTGATGTCATAAAACAACACATTCTCATGAAGGTTAGTCAATAAAAGCCAAAATCCTAAATTACTATTCACTATGCAGAAGGCTTTACTGTGACATCTTTAGGATCAGATCCAAACTCCTATTTGCATTGTCAACCACATCACAATATCACACACAATATCAGACACTGTAACTTAATATTTATGTACTCATGACCAAGCAATAGTTTCACACTTTTCATGAGTCTTTTAGTTTTAAGAGAAATGTATAATTTATTACTAATACAGTAACAGGCAGAAGACTGCAAAATATGTGCCTGAATTTAAACCCCTCAAAAGTCTATAACGTAAGAATGCAGTTCTTTTAACATATGCACTCCCAGGATCAGCCCAGCCTTTCTCTAACATCATGCAAACAGCTTGCAGCATTATATGGTAAAGAAATTAATGGCAAACAATCTACACATGTTCAAGGAATCATGAAAGATAGCTGCATGCACCATATAGGAACAGAGGATAATATAAAAAACCATCTGATTAAAATTAATTCTGAAAGAGACATGTTTTAGTCTTCTCATCGTACAATGCTATCATGGCAAGGTTGGAAACATAACTCACTAACCCAGTGGTCTCAACCTTTTTGTGCCTATGGGCACATTTGAGAGTTTATGAGATCGTGGCAGGCACCAACCAATTAACAAAGCCAAATTTTCTTTTCTCTGGACAAATAAGATATGGACACCAAATAATACACAAAACAACATGACGTTTAATGATAACAAGAAACCATGCAATCAAAAATATGTAGTTTTATAAGTACAATTATTATTACTCAAGTGGGAAGTTAGTGTGATGTTTGGCGCTGCATTTCATTGGCCAGTTTTTCAAATTTGGGAGTGTAGGATGATGTTGCTGCAAGCAAACAATCATCAAGATGGACGTCAGTAAGTCGAGATCTGTGCTTTGATTTTATATTGTTCACGGTGGAATGGCCTTCATTATTCAGTATAACCTCTTTCCGTAACAACGCAGGCACTCATAAAAAGCCTTGGCGGGCGCCTTGGCGCCCGCGGGCACCGCGTTGGGGACCACTGCTCTACACAATCACTGGTAAACTAACAAACTCATAAACAAGAGCATGTGTTTTACATAAAGTCTTCAATGCGTGCTCAAATGCCAGAAATAAAATATGTGTACCTTAGTTAAATTATTATAACTTACGAGCTTTTTAGAAGTGCCATGGAACATTGCGGATGTATTAGAAGAATATTTACTTAATACAGTCTGTGATGAGCAAAGCACACCTAATACCTTACAAAACATTGTTTGTGCTCTTAAAAACTGAAAACATGAAGAACCTTCCAGCACAATCTGCTGGCCACATTCACTACAGACAATGTTAGTTACAGCTTACAATTCAAATCAAATATTAGAATGTTTCAGAAAAATCACAGTGGTTAACAAAACATAAAAAAGTATTAAGAAAATGTGTGAATTCAGTGGTAAAGTAAGCAACCTTAATATTTTTGTTAAATATCACAATTAAACAAATCCTGTGACATAAAAGTATCAGCAACTATTATGCATCCCACCCACAGAAGAGATAAAACGCTCCAACTTTATATTTCAGCTGACTTATAGTAAAAGCAAAGAAGGAAGCATAACTGTTGACTTAGCTGAATGATGATCATCATGCAAACTTACAATTATGAATCAGTCAGTCTAAACTTAATGCAAGATTTTTTTCCAGTTTAAAGAAAGCAATTAAAAGCAGTTATAACTACACACAACATTTTATGAAATGTTATGCAAAATAATAATGGTTGTTGTTTTTCGAGTAAGGTTTACATCCTTTTTACACACAGCTGATTGAGTACACAGTTACCAGTATAACCATATTTACAGATTTATAACATGAGAGCTGACAAACTTGGGACTTATTTTCTGGGCAGTAGACCTATAAAAGGCACAGGCAACCAGTCACATGTGAGAATGAAATGTGGTCTGTAACTTGATCCAGTTACATTCCGAGTTTGTATCCAAGCATAACACACAGTAATGAATATATGTTACTGAATTATTTTAAAAAACCTGTTTTGTCAGAGAAGTCTAGATTAATTTGATTTTAAATACACATATGAAGAACTGAGAATTCATGTATTCTAAAAATACTTCATAAGTATCAACCCAAAAGAAACAAAAAGTCTGAGACATCAGTGTATGGAATGCAATGACCAGTTTTAGAAATTTTCTAATTAGATTTCACAAATTTTGAAGTTTTCAAAACTGTCCCACTTCAAGTGAGACAATTTTGAACACTTAAAAATTTCCTGAAATACAATAAAATTATTTGGAACTGGAACAGTTAAGCAGCCTAATCAGTGATGGTAACAGGCACACAACACTTCAAATAACCTCAACTTACCATGAATTAAACCATGATGTATCTTAAATAGAAAATAATCAATCATGTGCTCTACTTTGTTCAATAATCTGATGAAGCAGTAAATTACATACTCACCTGACAAAAAAAAAATGATGCATAATTATCAGTACAGAGTTGTTATTATGACACATCTTGAATTTGCATCATTCAATACTTTTTTAAAAATTTTGTTTCAAATTAAGTATATTTTAGATTCAGATAATGCTCACTACTTTTCAGTTCAGAAGCTTTTCTTGTCCCATCTCCTCTTTAAACTCTAAAGATTAAAATACACAAAATCTGAAAGGAAGAGCCCACTTGGGAGACATAGGCATAGATGGTAAGATAATATCAAAACAGATCTTAGAAACTAGGTGTGACCTGGATGCTGTAAACACAGTAAAATCTTTGGGGGTCTATAAAAGATGGGGAATTTCTCAACTACCTAAGTAACTACCAACTTCTCATGAATGACACTGTTTCTTGGAATTAGTTAATTTTTACTTCAAGGAACAATCCAAACATTTTCAAACCTCAGAATATGAATTTTATACTGTCATAAAAATTCACAAAACTAAACTGATAAGGAGCTACAGAATATGTTGTGGAGCTTAATATATACATCCAACTGGTGATCTAAAACCAACAAAAGTCAGTTCAATAAGTTCAATATTTTATCTTGAAATTTTATAAATACAAATATGAAATGCCACCAATTAAGGCAAGTTACAAACCAAACAGCTGTAGATGATGATTAACCTGGCTACCTGTGTGCCTGTGTGATCACAGATCTACTGGGAAATAAGCTTGAAGATCATCAGATCTTTCCATATTAAAGCCATAAATAAGATTGCTTTGTATTCTGCCTATTCATTAATTTTTAGTGTATTATACTATACCGTACCTATAAAACAAAAAAAAAGTAAGAAATTAACATTACGTAACACCGGAGGAGAGTAAAATTTTATTTCAATGTCATAATCAATTTGGTGTCCTGTTTCCTATGTCCTCCTCTAACTTCAATCGTCACGCCAGTTATTTTCCACATCTATTAATATATGAAAAATTTCACTGAGCCCTGTCACACAAAACCATTTTTGTACTGGACTATTTACATACCATTCAACGAATGTTTTAGGTTCGGAAAATAAGTACTGTACCTGTTGGCATGGTACTACTTCGGAAGTCTTTTCATATGTCAGTTATTTAAAATAAAACATTACAGAATAAAGTTTTTCTATGTCAGATGTAAATGCTGTACACTGAAGTTTAACATGATGGTATGAGAGAAGATCCAAAAAGACACAGACTTTTAAGCTAAAACATTACCCATCCAGAGAGAAGTAAAGTGAAAAATTGTAAGAACAAGATGAGGTGAATTCATTCTGGTTATGCAAGATGCATTTTGAAATTGAATGAGAGCCACTGTTAAGAAAAGGTTGACAAAGTCAGTAATCAAATATAGAATTTTCAGCAGAAAATAAACTGAACAACGCTACTTTTAGAGGAAAGTTGGGAGCAAAACATTAACACAGCACATTTTCAGAAGAAGCTTCGAAAGAACTTAAGAACTGCTACAATATATTCAGCAGCATTTAAAGAGATGTCTTGCACAGACTGAGGAGACTAACATATGTGCTTGCTACAAACCTTTATAACAAAACCAAAATTTTGACAAGGTTAGAATTTCTACACAATGCATAAGGATGGATTATTTATCTTGGCAATTAATGCCTTTTTAACTACGAACAATGGTATATTATGCTGCCAATCATCATCTCATGTACAAGTTTGATAAATGTAATACACATCTGTAAGCATAATGACATTACAAAGAATGTCTCAATAAGTTAAGCATGAAAATCTAAACTACCAGTAAAACAGGTCCAAGTCAGTTTCTTCCTGTATTAAAGATTTAACACTCCTACAGGATGATACTGACAAATCAAATTTGACCAGTAATATGGGGCATTTATACCGAAACAAAAGTGTACACAGGCTTTGAAAAACTCCAGCTACTGAAGAGTAAATATGAACTTCAGATAAAAAAATGACAATACAGTCAATTATTATGTGTAGCAGAAAGGTAAGTGCTAGCATATATAAATATTAGAAACATAAAAGCAAAAAATGACCAGATATGAAAAGAGAAACATTTTGCAAAATCTAACAGAAAACACAAATAAGAGAGATAATTGAGAGGTTAAAAAAAGTTTAATGATAATATGTAAGACCAGAAGCAAAGTGGAAAGACTATGAGCAGGAAGATACACAGGAGAGACTACAGAAAGACTGAACATACATAAAAGAGGAGCACTTACAGGAAATTAGGGAAGAATGAAGAATGTTACATTAAGCACGTCTTCCATAAACGTCAATGGATAATGATAATGTAAGATTTGAGGTTTTCACAGCGGTGAGTATAAAGATTTCTGTCTTCTGGGTTATTGCGCTGTGTTGTCTGGTCGATGTTAACCAACGTTTCAGAGGTCATACTGCCTCCGTCATCAGGGCGCCCTGATGACGGAGGCAGTATGACCTCTGAAACGTTGGTTAACATCGACCAGACAACACAGCGCAGATAATGATTAAGAAATAAATACTACAGAGAAAAAATATCTGGAGTGGTGCCTTCATATGCATGGCTAATATAAATGCCACAAGTGTATATACGTAACATTAATGAAATACACCTAGACTACCAATTCTAATGAACTCACGGATTTTCCAGCAAACACAACCCAGTCCAAAATGCCTAAATGTGGGTATGATAGGCATATCACACATCAGATCCATATTAAATAATACACTGAGGCCAGCAAAATCAGGGGGCCTGACCAACAGGCTTTCTAATTTCCCACCTTTCACCTGAAGACAGAAGCAGAATCCAGCTTCTGTAGTTGTATTATTTTATAATTCAGATGATGAATAAGTCCAAAAGAACAATTTTACATATTATATCATACCAGTGTCAGAAACCTTCAGACTAAATAACATACTGGCAAGATGCAAGATGCAAGTTGGCCCCATAGACTGTATTAATAAATTATTAACATGTATCAGGCTAACTGCAATAAAACTGACTTAAGAAATTCTTTTCATATGCTGGGCAGCAATGGTGATTAGAGAAAGTGGCTCTGCATGGCCAGCCCCAGGAATGTAAGCATGCATGTGTGCACACGCACACATACACGTGCTTGGGAGGATGAGTCATAATAATTTATGTGCACCTGTCAGGAGAATGCTATATTTTGTCAGATAAAAACATGACTGCACTGCACTGATCCTCACAACAAACACAAGAGAGATAAAAGAAGGAAACATTGTATTGCCACTATATATGAGAAACTGCAATTTTTGTCCAAGAGATGCTCAGAATTCATTCTGACACGGAACAAGGCCGAGTTCCTGGCAAGTTAAGTAAAGGAAAAGAACATACGCATAATATATGAGAAATTGCACTTGCTTCCTTAATAATTTTCTTGGTATGACTCTCATACAAAATATCCAGAACAGTTCTTACCTATTATTAATAATCTATATTTACATTAATAAGGCAACACCCACATTTAGACATAACTTCAGAAGAATTAGTAAGACTACTGCCAATTCTGTAATCTCATTATCATAATTATAAAATCAGTGGTAAGGAGAAATATTGTTGGTATTTAAATAGAAACCATAACCCTGCATGTGATTTCTGTGATGATGAGGGCCCTGCAGGTAGGTGCCAAGATCTTACATCTTTACTTTTCAGGGAGGGAGTAGAGCGGCTGGAGCTGGACCCACTCCGGCTAGGTGGGCGCTCCGACTTAATGCTGCCTATTCCACCTTTTTCCCCATTCTCTCGGATGTCTCCAGGATGTTCACCATTTGGATGTGGAGATGATGGGTCCTGTAAAAAAACACTGTTAGAGGAGCAAAAGACTTCTCTGAATTAACATCAATGTTTTGCTAATGCTTTTCACACTGATATATATTTAATAAATCCTCCAAGAGCAAGAAACCAAAGTTACCAATTTAAAAATCAGAATATTGACATTTATTTACTGTTTAATTCACACCATTCTTTTGTTTCAGATAAACACATATAGTAATCCCAAACTACCTATCTGCATCAAGCCTTATTTCTCTAAGACACACATTGCCTATGTTTAGATCTCTCAAGTCAACTTTTCCTTCAGGCTTTCCATCTGAGACTGTGTAGGCATTTCTCATCTCTCTTATGCATACTCACTTTCTTAGTCTTTGGCCTAAATATTCTCCTCTACAGCCTGTTCTCTGACATTACTAATCTACGTTCTTCAGTAATGATGAGATGTTAAGTTACACGCCCATAGAAAATGAGCAAAATTACTGTTTTCAATGTAAAGATTAATGGATGGCTCATAAAAGAAGTGAAATTGAAGGAACTTTCTTCCATTCCTTTCACTTATCCTTAGAGAACTATATTATTTAAAACGTATTAATATGATAAGTGGTGTCAACAGAGAGTATTTTATATTCTGGTGCTACAAGCTATTAAGTAAAGAAAAATTAAATGGACATGAAATAATAACAGAAATGCACACCTCATTGGCTACATCAACAACCAGGTCCTGGTCACTCTTCTCTCCATCACTTTCCTGTGAGCAGAAAAAGATCAGAGGTTGAACAGTGTAACAATTTAATTTTCCTAAATTCTAGTGCACTTCAAAAATTTATAATTACATACTTTTAACTGCTAATCCATAACAATGACAATAAAGTAAACAGTCTGAAGCATGAGATTAAAGTGATCAAACTATTTCATCTGACAGGTGGCAGCACTGGTAAGAAATGCATATTGAACACATGACAGCATGAGTTCAAATAATAACTTTTATAATAGCAAAATATTTTACTGAAGCAACACTTTGTTCTTTTGTCAAAAAACAGATGCCACAGTTTAAGAACAAAGAATAAACAACATATTTGCTGTGAAAAGGCAACAAAAAAATGTTGCAGGCACTTAAAAATGCTACACGTTTATAGTGATGAAACAATATGTACAGCAGGGAGATAAATTAAAAAAGAGAAAACAAAGATTAAAATATAGTTATTTCAACAATTGCAAGAAGAGTACAAGCCATAATTTCATCACGCTCACATTCTACAACAAATGTTTTATTTTCAAAGTGAAGTCCAGCAGTTAATAACAGAGAATTTTAAAAGGAGAACTGAATTTGGTCATAAATCCTGTATGAAAGGAGATGGAAAATGTGCATAAATAACAACTGTCTCATCTATAAATACACAAAAATTTAACTGTGCACACCTGGTTGTCAATACAGGTACTCTACAAAATACAGAACTGAGATTTTACAGAAAAACCTTCATAATTATTCATGACAAACTCTGGCACATGGAACAGAATCTCACCTGTCATTAAAAAAAAACCTTATAAATCAACAAGTCATTTTAATATAACACAAATCAACGACTGAAAGAATGCAACCTCCTCCTACACTCATACTTGAAATTAGAAACAGTACAATATTACAGTAGGCACATAGCTTTTGCTATGCACAGCTGCAAGCGTAGTCATTTATGATTTATTTATCACAACACAAAGGGAAATGAGACACAGAGATAAAGATAATGGAGGGGAGGACAGAAAAATGCACACATTATATTATGCATATAAAGTGAGCGTTATGAAGTATTGATTTACATAAATTGAATTTGGATGGACACGGTTTCAGTTTTGTTTTCCCGAGCAATGGACAGGTCCTACAGCACCCACAGGCAATCCCTTTACTTTACATCATTTTCCACAACCCCTTCCCTTCAACCCTCTCTTTAGCTAACACCCTCTAAGCCCCTAACTGGACTGTTAAATGTACTGGGACCTCATTTCCGTAACAAGGTTGTCTGCTTGCTCTGCCTGTGCTTCGATAGCTTGGTCCTCCAGCCATCTATCGGACGGCTAGCGCACATGCAGGCTCTGGCACTGTTTGTTTTTTATACAAATCCATCAACCAAGCAAAGCAGTGCACAGTGCTTGCAAGCAAGAGCAATAACAGGGCAAGGCTCTATGAGAGAGAGGAAATGGAGACTGATCAAATTTTCGCAGCATCAGAAGAGGAAATTGTAACTGGTTCAGTCATCCAGCTAGGTTGGTAGACAAGCAAGCAACTGAGAATATGTGAACTGGACATGAATGCCTGGCAATCTCCCTCTCACACCACCTGAATATTGCTCTTGAAAAAAATCTGGCATCTGGATGGATGAGCAGTGAGTGAGGGTCAGCGTTCAATCACCCTGCCAGTCAAGAGAGATGCTAGGATAAAGTGGGAAAATGCTATGAGTGAGATAGAGCGAATTGATGGAATACAGGCACACTTGTTAAAAGAGTGAGAAGGAGAAGGAATAAATAGAAAGCATTTTCACCTGAACTTATGAAGTCTGATTTACAATGGATATTCAGCCATTGTCCTGTCAAACTATATTCCCCCAGAGTTCCTACTGACCTGTAAAAAAGTCTACCTCTCAGGACCACATTCCGAACCTATAGTTAAAGTCATGTGAAACAAGTTCCATGGTAACTTCATCCCCAAACTCTACCCATTTTCCAACAGTTAGAAGTGAAGGGTTTGTTCATTCATTTCAAACATATTTTAGTTTAAAAAAGGATAGATAGCCTTTATATTAAACATGCCTATTTTCCTTAAAATAAATAAAAAAGAGACAAATGTTTCTGAATAATTTAAAATGCAAGCATATGTCATCCTGAAATAAAGTGGAGTGGTTCTGGGTCACAAGGGACAGTGAGATACAGAGGAAGAACGAGTTGTCTGTAACCCTTCAACATTCATTTTACCTAATATGCAAAGTTTACCCAAGCCAAAATTAAACCACTTCCGATGTCTCTGCAAGTCAGTGAGAAAGAACAATAAGACATGAAGATTTCTGTCTTCTGGGCTGTTGCGCTGTGTAGTCTGGTCAATGTTTACCAACGTTTCAGAGGTCATACTGCCTCCGTCATCAGGACGATGACCTCTGAAACGTTGGTTAACATCAACCATACTACACGGCGCAACAACCTAGAAGACAGAAATCTTCATTCTCACCGCTGCGAAAACCTCACATCTTACAACAACATGACATCTTATATTTCTATCTTTAGGTAATTACTGGAAGAAATAACAGAATTTATTCAGATTATAATCTGCACTGTGTTCCAACAATTTTCCACTGTTATATTTTTATAATTATTATTACTGAGGGAAGTGGATTTATTCCACGTCTGTTAAATACCAATTCAGTCGCACTGAAAGAAAGTGGGATATTTTTAACAAAACAAATTTATTTCAGTCATAAATGGCATTCACTAAGGGAGAAGATTTAATGTTTTATTTCTAACAAACTGTCTATAAAACCTATTAACAACTTATACGAAAATGCATCTGTTTATTCAATGCATAGAGTTATTGTGGAGGACCAACATGTAATATGGACATCAGAAGTATCAAGACAACCAATATCTGGGATCTTGCACAGTGCGGTCTGGTAGAAGGTTACCAACATTTCAGGGGTGCTAACTACTATCATCATCCCAGCAATAAGTCACTGCCCTGATTATGAACGTGGTAAGTGCAGTTTTGTAACTTTCAATTGTAAACATACCTAAAAACATTTGTGATCGGCAATTTTGACACATTTTGTTAGGTTAGAAACATGGAGCATAATACAATTATCACTGCAAAGCCGGCTTAACCCCCAGGAAAGGACCCCGGTACCCATTGTAGAAGAGGCTGGGTGGGCCCCAGAGCCGGTCTGGACGCAGAGGCTAGAGGAAAAAAAAAATCCTCCGCCCCCATCAGGGATCGAACCCCGGTCATCCAGCCCGTAGCTAGTCACTATACTGACACAAAATAAAGATAAAACACTGAGAAGTATGGGTAAAAGTTATAATAAAAAAGGCAGAAGATTAATACACTGATGGGAAGAAAAGGTTGATGAAGAAAGGGATACAAAAGAGGGGGCAGTGTGATGGTAGAGTGAGAGCAAGTGAAAGAGAGAATTAAGCAAGTACAGAGTTAAGAAAAAAAGATCAGCATTGACAACAGAGTTTGACGGAAAGGTACAGAGAGAATAAAAAAGGACAGCAGCATAGGAATAAGTGACTGAAAGAAAGAGATAGATCGATTAAGAGGGGAGAAATGTGAGAAGGAAAGGGCAGGGCATTACTCTGGTATTAGGGTTAGATTTTTATAGGCTTTGCTTGTTGATTACTACAGGATAAGGGTAGAAGGAACAGAGTATGAGGAGGAGGAAGGGGGTTGATGAAAGGAGAAAAGAAGGATGGTATGTGAGTGGAACAGAGGGGCTGTTGGTTCATCATGTATTTATGCTACCTTCATGCAAACTGAACCACAAAGTATGATACAGAATAACAGACAGACAGCATCTACTGTAATCAATTGAAAATAGCACACTTTCTGAAGAATAATAGAGGACTTCCTGACATTTACACAGTATTCTGCCTACAAGCTACACAGATAATAAATTAAAACCCAAATAGAGGCACTCCTACCCTCTGAAATATTAAAATGGTGTAACAACCTTATTAACAGAAATTGCTTAAGCTGAATGACACTGCCAACCAAACATGCAGTTGTTCTATGGGCGCAATGAAATAATTTTTATGCTATTTCATATTTAGGAACAAAATCATTCAACTGAACCACAAATAATATTGTCCAATGATTAATAAAAATGCCGAACTTTGATACTCCAAAGTAACATGTTTTAAATACAACTAGCAAGTCTCCTTTACATTCTTCTAGTAGGTAACAATATTCAATAAAGAATGTGAACTAACATGACCACCAAGTTTGTCTTCTTTCCTTCGCTTAAGGTCATGTTCCACATCTGGTGACCTGGATCGGTACTTTTCTCTTTCCGCAGGGGACACAGAACTCCGCTGAAACATGAGAATAACATGGACATCTAACTAAAAATATAACAACATACAACTACAGGTAGCCCTCGATTTGCGCCGGTTCAGAATAACGACGATTTTGAAACCAGCAAGTCAAAAAGTGAAAAAATGTATTTTACTATTATTTATAACGTTTTACAATGTATCTCGTACTGATTCTTATACTAAATCGTAATTCTTACATCGCTGATTTTGAATAAAAACTATAAATGCAGTCATCTCTGCAATTACGTATGTTTCGTTAACGCGAATTTGCTCCAATGAGATCGATGAATCGGTAAAAGCTGTTTGTGAAATGCAAACTTTTGCATATG